CTATATATATATATATATATATATATATATATATATATATATATATATATATATATATATATATATATATATAAGTAGGAGAAGAATTATAGTAACAATACAATAACAAAATAATGTAATAAGAAAAGTAATAAATAATAATATTATATCTTTTATTACATCTATTATTCTTAATATCCCTGCAAGCTAATTATCGGGAACAAATAGTAGCTTAGAGTACATGTAATGGAATTGAGCCGACAAAAGAAATTTTGTGAGGATAATTTCTAGAAGTAGAAAGCCAGATCTTCGTTGCATGCCGAACGAATTTTAGAATACATTCGGTAAGTTTTTTCTATTGAGAATGTTGGCGATTAGAGCGAGGATGAAGAGTTTCCTTTTTTTGCTCCTTGTGGACCGTTGTCTGATTCTCTATCGTTTTCCAGACAAGAAAAAAATATAGATTTATAACTCTTCTGTTTTTTCGATCACACAAAAGTTTTTAGAAGGGGGATCAATAATGGATTTTTTTAGAGAGAGAGAAAGATGGGTAATGGACGCCAGAGTGTTAGGCATGCTCGACCTATGTGAATAGAGACTGATAATGTGCTTGGTCGAAAAAAAAGAATGGATAGTTTTTTGGAACATTAGCTATGATACCATGATAAATTTGATAATAATAAGTCTTATTGAATAATGAAGATTACATATATATGTAGGGATTACAAGAAAGAATTTTAATCTAAGTAGGTTAAAAATTATCGTAACAATACAATAAGAAAATAATATAATAAAGAAAGTAATAAATAATAATATTCAATTTCATAATATAATACATCTAGTATTCCTAATAATAATGTTGTATCTTAAATCATGACATTAATTCAAAATTACTTTTTTCTCTAAAAAGCAATATTTGCATTTAGTGAGTGATTAATGAAATAAAAACATTAAAGTAACTGTAATAGAAATCAATAAGTTAAAAAACTTTAATGGAATCAATGAGTTAAAATTAAATTCAATGGAACCCAATAAAATAAAAATAACCTCAAGAGTCAAGACCAAATAAGAAATATATCTTGCGGCATATAAATTCGAACCGAATCACTCCGCCGGTGTGTTCCGACTGTTCTTCTCTCCGCCGCCTCTCTCCGTCGGTATGTTCTTTTCTATAACCAATATACTGTGTGATCTTTAGGCGTTTTTTTCGTTCCGGTCCTTCGTTAATTTGTTTAAAGAGTTGTTTCTTTTGTTGCATGTTACCTATATTTAAGTTGTTTTAAGTGAAATTTGCATTAAATAGGATTAAATAAGACTTAATAATGATTAGTGAGAAGAATAATGTTCAAGTGATTCTGGGCATTTAGTTAAATAATAACTAATAGATAACGATCAATGATTCTACATTGGAAAATAAAAACATATAATCCTATATAGAGAAAGTCATTATCTTTTATTCCTATTTAGGTAAATTACCTGGTTTTAATTTATTGAATAACGTTTTGCACCTTATAAAACTATATATATGGACTACAAGTATACATATTAATAATAGTATACTCTCACCGGTTCTAAAAACATGAGAGTTATTGATTTTTTAAAGATTTAAAGGAAGTGTATTTTGATATTGAATTTCCAAAAAAGTCTTTTGATGTGATGGGTAAAAGTAGGATTTGATGGGTAGATTATTAATAAAAAGGTATGATGTGATAGGTATAGTAAGTAATGGATAAAAATGACTTTTTAATAAAAATAAAAAATATTTTTTGGAACGGATGAAAAAAGAAAGTGAAAAATATTTAAGACGGAGTATGTATTATTAAACCTAAACATGCATTCACAAATGTCTCGTCACACATTACCAATCTCACGAGTTTATGTTTCAAAAGCATTTTAGTAGTGTAATTTTGGAGTATGCTACATGCACCCCAATTTGTACCCCAAAGCTTTAACCTGATATTTAATCATTTAATGTAGGTGCAACACTGGCATATTACCAGTTTCAAAATGGGGTACAATATGTGTACAATATTACCACCTACATTTAATGCCAGGGCAAAACATTAGAATACAAAATGGGGTACAATATGGGTACATGTAGCATTACCCTTCTTTTTTTAAGGGAGCATAGCCCCTTCCGTTTTCCCATGTTCCGCCCCTTTCTTAAACAGCTCTAGCTCATTTCTTTCTTTGACTATTAGAATTCTTCTTTTTTTTTCCAAAGTGTTCTTTTTGGTATCAATTTTGAGAAATGTGTTTATTTGATGTCTTTAGATTTCCATGGATGGATTTTGACATACATGAAAAAATATTTAGGGATAATAATGCTTTTGGTTGCAAAACAAATTTATCGCTAATGATAATGATCAATATATTATTTTATACTAATAAGTTTATAATAATAATAATAATAATAATAATATTTTGAAGATTATAATTATTTTTGAATTATTCTATTATTTTATATTTTTCAGTCGATTTTATAACTTATAAGCAATTATTGATGTTACAATAATGTATACATTTTTTAAACAATTTAAGTTTATGTATAAATAATTCATAGATTATAACTAAAATTCATTTAAATCCAACTAACTTTACATAGACTTAAAACCTATTAAAACCTTTTAAAATGTACTACAATCCCAGCTTTCAATAGCTGCTCCTTCTGCCATGTTGGTTCTCTTTGAGACTGCTGCAGGGTTTGCCATTTTCAAGTTGTTGAAAGAGCTTTCGGAGGTATGTACTTACACTAGCTTGCACCTTCTTGTGCTCTAATAGACACTCACAGAATTTCAATATTTCTTATCAGGTTCTACCAAAGGACTTTTCTACTGCGGATTCAGCCCGCGAGGTTTGTTTTTCGGTTGTTTTTTAATCCTGAATTTGTAATCATTGAGGTAGGTGTTGTTTTGGTGTAATAAGTTGTCTCGAAAAAACAGGTAGTGAAGCTAAAAGCATTCTTGAAGTTCGAGAATACCTCACTGCTACTCGGTTGATCGACAGCAAGCCAAGCAAGGGGCTGCTTGAGTTTTTACGGCTTCACTGTGAAGGTGAAACTCTGGCCGTAGCTGATTCAAAGCTTGGAGATGCAATTAAGGAGAAACTGGTATGAATGTATGATGATGATCATGAATCCCATATGATTGTTTGTTTGTGTTTTTCCCACTCTAATCCCAAGAAATCACTTTTACTGCAGCAAATTGACTCTGTGCACAATAGCAAAATCATGGAATTGATGAGAGGCTTGAGGAACCAATTGACGGAGCTCATAAGTGATGTAGGTTGTCAAGATTTGGCTCTAATGAGTTCCGGTTTATCTCAGGGTCTTTTAAGATACAAACTAAAATTCAGCCCTAAAAAGGTAAAAACATCTTAGTTATTCGATAGATGACCGGGGTTCTAATGATCATTAAGTTGCATCTCGGTTCTCTTTTCGCACACTTTTTCAATCCTTAGACCTTTACACAGATGTGTAGGCAATTATTAAACTAATTTGAAACGATCTTAAAATTAGTGAAATTGAATTGGACTATTCTTGAAGTATGTACAAATGAGTGGTGCAAATATGCAACTTTGGATCATTGAGTTGTCAATATTGACTACCAACAGAATCTTGTACTAGGTCTATAATGAATGATATATTCTTTTCACGGAGACGCATCGGTTGTTCAGGTCATTAGGTTGTTGAATGTTCTTGATAAAAAGCTAAACGCTAGGACAATGAGAGTTCGAGAGTTGTATGGATTGCATTTTCCTGAGCTCACAAAAATTGTACCAGACAATATTTTGTATGCCAAATCCGTCAAGTTGATGGGTGACTGCACAAATCCTGCAAAGTTAGACTTCTCTGGGGTACTTTCTCCCAACCAATATACATTTTGATCTTTATGGGCTTTTTTTTCTGACCATTGCTGGAAGCTTATTCTTTTAAAAGTGGAATGAAGAGGTTTAATTTTATTCTTGAAATGCTTATAGATTCTCCCCGAAGAGGTTGAGGCAGAATTGAAAGATGCAGCTATGACTTCCATGGGAACCAAAGTCAGTGACCTTGATCTGGTTAAAATTAAAAATCAATGTGATCGGGTACTCTCTCTTTCAGAATACAGAGCTGAGTCGTATGATTATTTGAAGATAAGGATGAACACCATTGCTCCGAACCTCACTGCTCTAGTGGGAGAACTTGTTGCTGCACGACTTATTGCCCGTTGCGGCAGCTTGTTAAATCTTGCGAAGCAGCCTGGAAGCACTATTCAGATTCTTGGTGCAGAAAAGACTCTCTCTAAGGCTCTGAAAACCCAACACGCGACTCCTAAATATGGGCTGATATACCATGCACCATTGGTTGATCAGGCATCACCAAAACACAAAGGTAAAATTTCAAGGTCTCTTGCAGCCAAATGTGCTTTGGCAATTCGATATGATGCTCTTGGAGAAGGCCAAGACTGTACTTTTGGTTTGGAGAATCGGGCTAAGGTACTGTGATGATTTCATGTTATTTTATTTATTTTCATTTTCCTTTTTTTATTTGTTTTTTTCCACACTATATTATGTAATCCTTACCTTCCAGTCTATTCTAATATAATGATATGCGCGTGACAGCTCGAAGCACGGTTGAGAAATTTAGAAGCACAGGACTTGAGTCCTACGGGAGGATCTGCTAATAAGGGGAAGCCTAAGATAGAGATTTATAACAAAGCTCTTAATAAATCTTCAGGGGCTTCAATTACTCCTGCTGCCAAGGTGTGTGCTTGCACATTCTGTCCTGCAATTTTTAAAAGTAGATTCTGCATTATCTGGGTGTGTGATTTTTGTTATTAACATATCTATATCTTCATAGGTTAACAATCCTTCAGCGGATTCTATTCTTTGGGACTCCGACCTACAGAGAAAGACAGATGTGGAAGCTTGTGTTGAAAAAACTCCCGCGAAAGAGGAGAAAAATGAAGCCATTGTTGCCTAGAAATATTTGTAGGCTTTGTTGTTGGGAATGATTTGTAGGTTGGTGCTTTTGGAAAACACCCTCTTTTCTTTAGTTATAACTTATAAGTACCTTTTAAAAATTTTACACGAAAAAAGACTTAATTGATCTTATTAAAGTGCATCTCAGTTTTTTAGCTCCATTTCTTGCTCTCTTTTTCTTCTTGAATAATCACTTAACTGTTTTACTACCTTCGCGACTTGGGAGTAATGTTGGTTTTAAGTGCATATTGCGCTTGCGACTACGTAGTAATGTCAGTTTTTAGTTCATACTGCCTTCTGAATTGGGTAGTAATATCGGTCTTTAGTGTATCCTGTCTTCCTGATTGTACAATAGTGTTGGTGTTCAGTCAGGACGGCATAGTCTTTTTGGTAGTGTTTTATTCCTATGCGTGAATTACGTCTTATTTTCGTAAAATGTTACTCCCTCCGTCCCAAAAAATCTTTCATGTTTACTATTACGGTCTCTGGATAACTCTAATTTGTTTGCGTGTTTTGATTTATCATTTGATAAAATAAAATATTCTTGTCACTTCTTATTTTGTAGAGTTTTTGATGTAGTTTTTAAATATAATTTTTTTATGTGTTATTTCCTTACCAATTTTCAAATAAAATCATTTTAAAATCTACGGGGTTTTGCACGTTAATCAAAACAGGAAATTCCTTCTGGGACGGAGGGAGTATGTTTTAGGGCATGTTCTTTAAAGTTTAAACACTTCTAGTTCTTTCTAGTTTTTTTCTTCAGTTTCTTCCTTTTTTCTAATTTTTTCCATTTTTCATATTATTTTCATTTTCTTCTCCCCAAATAATGACTTTAAAAATGACGTGTTTTTCATATTTTATTTTTATTATTACTATTATTATTATAGCTATTACTATTATAATTGATATTATTATGTTCATAACTATGGTTTATAAGGTATTTCAATTTTTATTTTTTTTCTAATGTCACTATTTTTGTGACTAAAACTCATTATTACATATTCTTTCATTTTTAATATAAATAATACTCCATACATAGTATAATTTTATTGGAAAATTGTTTTTTTTAAATAATTTACATGACATAAACTATGTTCCAAATCTTTTGAATATTTTGTTAATCTATTTTGACCTTGGAAAATATCAATATTTTAAATTAAAAAGATCTTTGTCCCTAATTAAATGACATATGCACCATTTACATAATTAAATTTTATTCACTTCCTTTACTTGTTATAAAAATACGGAGCATATAATAATAATGATGATGATGATGATGATGATGATAGTTATAATGGAGTAATGTTTATGTTAATAACACTAATAAAAATTATACTTCATAATAAGAATAACTAGTATCACACCCGTGCGATGCACGAGTCATATTTATGTTACAAAAATAAGCTCAATTTTTAATGATAAGAAATGATATCTAATACAATACAATATAGAGATTTTATTATTTTAAGACACAAAATTTTTTTACTTTACTAATTTTGAAAGATTTCTTTATAAACTATATTATTCTGTGGGAACATTTTTAATCACAAAGAGTTTAAAGATTGAAATTGTTTTTTTTTTGAAAATCTAAAAAAAATCTAAAGTATTGAAATGATGTCATGATAGAGTTTGAAGGAGTCAATTCTTCATTTGAAAATTTTAAAGGGTATGATCTGATTGAAATAAGTTTTGATCTGATTTCAATCTAGTTATATTTAAAATTATTTTTGATTTAATAATTAAGATTTGATTTCTATAAAAAGAAGTAATAGGGAGTAAGTAAAAAAAAAGTTTAGCTTTCAACCCAAAACTCAGCGGGAAACGGCGAGCAGGGCGACGAATCCTAAGCCCGCAGTCTATAGTTTGGTTGGCTGCTGCACATATCAAACGGATCCGTTTCCCGGAGCAGCGGAGAAGTCACAATTCGGTGGCATGAATCCATCACCATCGAACACCCGAAGCAACGGCTCCGCAGAAGAGAATTCCAGCAACGAAGATAAACCCTTCTTTGATGTTTACGGGCCCCAGGTTTCGCCATCTTCTTCTTCACCACTTCCGCGCATTTTTGTAGAATTTATTCGTTCATTTTGTTTGCTTGGGTTTTCTCATGTGAAATTTGCAATAAATAGGACTAAAACATAAGTCATTTCCCAAACTTAAACTTTTTTATTACTTAAATAGGACTTAATAGTGTCTAATGGGAGAAATAATGTGCGTGATGGTGGGTGGACATTTAAATAATTTAAATAATGACCAATAGATAATGACCTAATAAAAACATATGGTCAATATAAACTTCAATTTTTTTGCTTGTTTGTTTGGAACCAGGGTGAAATTTTTACGTTTTTATATGGGCATGGTATGGATTACACAGGAGGTTAATGGGAATAACTTACGAGGAGGGAAGGCTCTTCCAGATCTCCTTGAAGATTTGAGTAACTATTTAGGTTCAAGCAATCTGAACAATATAAACTTTAGGCAAGTAAATTTGTTTGGGAGAGGGATAGGTAAATTTTAGATTGAAAGTTTAGTGCTTCAAAATTTTGACCTTGAAAGGAGAATTTTAAACAAGACTGAAGTTGTATAAGATGACTGCGACCCATGGCCTCCCTCCCATTTAGATAGCTTAATGCTTTGAACATTTTGAGCTTGAATGTTATGTCTTAAATAATACAGGGTTCTAATGATGGTGCAACATGGTAGTCTTTTCGTGTCATTTAAATTTATAATTTCTCTGCTCAGTGCTTATACAAACAATGAATAAAGATGAAACATAAGAGATTTACTCTCATTCTTTACATTGGGTATTCTCTTCCACCCATCTATAGGAATTAGTAAATATGGCTGATAGATTGAACTCCCTAGGACTAATGTGCTTATACATAATGATAGAAGGAATGGTCTCTGACTGAGCTGCTAATTCGATACAAGGATCTCTCGTGTAATAAGAGTCTGTCCGAGTCTTTTTATTTTTCAATACATATTTGTTTTCAAACCTGAAAAGTTGTCACATAGTGATTTGCTACATCTCTCCCCAAATACACTTTTACTAATAAGTCACCTCATGTTTATACAACAACAACCCAGTTCGATCCCACGAAAGTAGGGTCTAGAGATCGTGTGTGTACGCAGACCCAATGTTCGAAAAGGCGTATTGCGGTTTTGAGGCATTTTCATTTCATGGCGTATTGCGTAAGCCTTGAGGCGTTTTGAGGCGTAAGCCTCAATTTTTAAATTGAAAAACATTCACAAAATAATTTATTTGGTTTCTATCTTGTATTACATATTGTATTTATTAGGTTTTTGTACTTTTTTCATATAACAGTTTCGTTATGTAGCGTTTGTATTGTTTCAGATTGTACCTTAGTCACATAATTTTGCTCGAAGTGATGAGCTTAAATTGAAGAATTGAAAAAAAGTTCATCAGTGTCTAACGGCTTGAAATTAGGATCAAAAGATGATGCTTAAATCGACTAATCTCGCCTTTGACATCTTTTTTACAAAAATTGCAGTTTACATATTTGTAGTTTTTTTTTGTCCTTCGATATTGGGTGTTGAGTCAACACCATACTTCCATGCTGGGTCCGACATTTAAGCAATATTCTAATTTCTGAAACACCAATATGCAATAATTCATCTTAAAAACAAAAAAATAGAACAATTAGCACATCAGTTATCAAAAAAGAAGAAAAAAAAGGATATTAACAGGTAAAAAAAATCATCTCATCCAACTACTTGAAAAAATACCAATCATAAACTCATAAAAAACATCAACTGAATGCTAGTGTACTTCACAAAAAGATTACCAAAAAAATAAGAAAAAGAAAAAAATAGCACCACTTGACAATTGTAAAAAGAGAAAAAGGCAAAGTTGGACAGCTGTACAAAGCAGACATAAAACGCAGCACCCTATCCTTTGCATGTGCTGGAAAGAAAGAGCAGAGACGCAGACAAAAAAACATACCTTTTCGCCGGAGAAGAAGATTGAAGACGGCCGACGCTGGAGACGGTTCGTAGCTCGCAAAAGGTAATCGACAAAGATTAGGGAAATCGACACTCGACAAAGGTAATTTTAGGATATATACACTTAATTGGGTAAATTTCTAATCCTTGAATTGCGTAAGCCTTAATGCGCGCACCAGTGCGTACGCCCCATGGCGTACGCCTTTCAGAGAATTGCGTAAAAAAACCTATAGCGTGAAATCGGGATTAGCACCAGTGCGTAATTTCCAGAAAAAGTTACGAGGCGCGCCTTGAGGCGGGTTTGCGTTCTGCCTTTCGAACATTGCGCAGACCTTGCCCCTACTCAAAGTAGAGAGGCTGTTTCCAATAGACCCCGGCTTAACCTGCAAAGATAAGAAATCATTGGAGATACATACAAGCACACTGAGGTAAGAAACAAACTATGGTTAACAAAGGAAAATTACAGCAATCCAATAGTACCAAGCATACAGTGCATACAAAGCACACAACAACAAGTACAAAAAACTACCCCTAGCCCAAGGCCAAATTCCGAGTAAGAGCATGAAGTCCTAAGTCTTGTCTAATCATCTCTTTTCAAGTCTTCCTATATCTATCCCTTCCCCTACTCCCTTACCAACACAAGCCTCTTGCATCTCCGCATTGGGGCGTAAGCATTCCGCTACCTCACATGCCCAAATCACCTCAACCCAGCTTTCTGTAGCTTATTTTCAACCACCTCAACCTAGTTGTTTCATAGATACTCCCTCCTTCCCACTTGAATATTTCCGTACACTATTCACATGGTCAAACTTTATATACTATGTTCCTTATTTTCGTTACTCATTTAATAAAAATAAAATAATCTTGTCACATCTAATTTTTAGTTTTTAATTTTACACCTACAATCAAATCAATTGAATTGAAAATAAAGCTCGTAAAGTATCGTAACGTGGAGCGGAAAGATTCAAATGTGACGGAGGGAGTAATATGTAAAGTTCTCTATACCAGTATTTATTTATCTTGAATTGGGAATAGCTTAAGTCAAACATCATAAACAAAAATGTGAAGTTTAAAAAGAGCCGGAGGGAGTATTTATTTTGATGTGCTTAAATAAGAAACATTGGTCCTCAAAATGGGTATGTATTGCAGGGCAAAGCAGAAGTCAGTTTCAAGCAACCCCAAGCAAACTCAACATTGAATTTGCAAGTATGTTTTCATGGCCCATGCCAAATTACGAAGTATGCTTTCCCTTTCTTTTCGATGTAGTAACAATCTTTATTTTTCTCACCAAGGAAGTGCAAGGGCTTGCCACCTGGGTGCTTGCTGAAGGCTTCATGCCATCATGGATTTTTATCAAAGTAATGAATTGTGCTTATCTTAAATATTGTTTATTGGTTTCGTATATTTGCTTTTGTTTACTTGCGGGTGGTTTCTATTTGTCAGTTAGTGTCCAACTTCTGCATTCTAGTTATGTTTTACATGTTACTATTACATTTATGGTTCCTGTAAATTTGCAGAACAATGAGATGTCATTGCATTAGAAATCAAAAGGTCTAATTCAATCTCTTACCTTCTGCAGAACAAGCCTTTGATTCCTAAAGTGGTTATGCTGTATGTGCCTGGCCTTGATGCTGCACTTTACTTGTCACAGTCTAAAGTTCTCAAAAGCTTTAAACAATGCTGTGGCATTCCAAGAGCTGTATTAGCTCTCAGGTTGGTTTCTGATATCATGACCACAAGACAATATCTTGCAACTCTTCCCATTTGTATTTATGCATTGTTTTTACTTTATGGTAGCTGTGTATCAGATGGAACACAGACTATAGATGCACTTCTTACCTACAAAACGAAAAGAAAACGGGACGATGCTGATCACTTCTCAAAAACGATTGCTCAAACATCTGAACCAGGTGCACTTTTCAAAGTAGTTATCATTTTCCTTCCGAAGACATTTCTTGTGTTCCATATCATTTTCTCCACTTTAGAATGGATAGGAATTGGAATAGTAATTTTTATTATGTTATAAGTATATGTCATGAAAAACTAAAATGGAAAGAAAGGGTGCCTGAAAGATGCTAATACTATGGTTAGTATTTGCTTGTGGAAAAAGGAAGTTTTAGTTAGATGTCTGGCATTTCTAATTTTTGTATAACTGATGCATGAGGAAAACAAGGAGTCAGTAGAAGAACCCTTACTTTATGAAGATCATCTACATTTGGTTATTTAAATTATTCAGCACAAACTCTACAGCAAACAGGCTTAATAGATCCATGAAAACTAACCTCGTCAGACGACAACACATGGCTTGTCATGTTTCATGAGTCTGGCCTCAATTTCTCAACATCCCAGTCAGACAATGTATATTGTGAATCCATTTCTTGGATGACTGGTTTCACTTCAACTCTCAACATCCCAGTCAGACAATGTATATTGCGAATCCATTTCTTGGATGACTGGTTTCACTTCAACTCTCAACATCCCAGTCAGAAATGGCATATTGCGAATCCATTTTTTGGATGACTGGTTTCTGACTTGTGACCATGGCATTAGCTGATGGTTTGAGTAGTTGAGTGCTTCATAAGGCTATGTTTGTTAACTAAGAAAGCAATACACAATTGAACACTAAGATATTCATCATGGAGCCTATAACAAGTAATATGATTATTTGGTATATAATTCTAATTTACCATGTAAAACTTATTTGGTTTTTGGATTGACCAATGAAAGAATTTTGATAAAGAAGTACATGCCTTTTAATGAAAGTAAGGTGGTGATTTGGTAATCTCATACCCAGTGACAACCTGTTAATCCTCACTAGTCACAAATATGCAAAAGGGTAATAACCATGTGTTTTTACTTCTAAAGAGATCTGCATAGTGTGATGAAATGGCTATCAAGACAAGTCTGTATTCTGTCTTACTAGATTTATCACAAGATGCTTGTATTTTTATTCATGCAGGTTGTACCACTTCTGGCTTGGAGATTACGTCCTTTTGTGACCTTAAGAAAAACATACCATTCCCGGTTACATATTATACACTTACTGCTAAGGAACTGGAAGATAATCAATACTGTTATGATAATCCAGGTACCAAGGATACTAACTTGAATGGTGTGTGTAGCATTACCATTGATTTTGTAGAGTATCTAGTTCCTTACCCGGGGTTTTCCATAACAGAGTATCTTTCAACGCTCCCTGTTCCTTCAGGAACTCCCCCATATGAGATTTTAGCACTTGATTGTGAGATGGTAAGTTTAACCTAATTTGTCATTGCTCTCTTTGTCTCTTATATTTCCAATGCATTAGCTTGCCTTATTTTCTTGAAAAATGAGTACGATTTAGGTTCTGCATTTTGATGTTATCTTATTGGGTCACTACCGATTTTTTACACTAGCATTCTGATAGCATTCTTCATTTATGCTAAACAACCATTAGCACTAGTCACATTCCCATTCTTCATTCTATGGAAATTCTCAGTAAAGGAAGTACTTCTTACCTGTGAATGGTTCAAAATGTACTACAACCCATGAATTACAGGGAATAAAATTTTGAGTTCCGCTGGTCTAATTGTTTTACATAGGACACAGTTAAAAATTTTATTTTGATTTTTAAAACAGTAAACAGAAGAGTATGGTTTTATAGAAAGTGATAAGGACTAAAGAGTTAAAGACCACTAGTCACGGTTTTATTAAAAGTGCAGTTTCAGGTAGTTTAAATGGCAGAACTGCATTTTGGTGCTCAATCCAAGCTGAACTGGTTATTTTGCGCAAGCACCATAGTTCAGTCAAGGCTGAGATAGCACTCTGTTTACTGTGAATGACATGATTTCCACTTTTCAGAGTCACAACCTCGTTGTTCCCCTTGGCCAAAAGCTCTCATTTGGATTATAATATTTGTGTCTTCAAACTTATATTGCCTTTCTCATTTAATTTTTCTAAATCAGTTTTCTTGATTCTTTGTGTGTATGTACTATGTGGTCAGTGTTGGGGGGGGGGGGTGGCATTGTATTTTCTCAGTGAACAAACTGTTGGAATTTACAGACTTTTAGAGTTTAAATAAAAGTGTCATGACATTTTACCATTGCCATAAAAATACAGGATCTTTTGAGTTTTAAAATGTTAGTCAATCACTTGATCAGTTAATGTTTTCCGGCAATCATATTGTACGTGAATGTTGGATACATGATGGCATGCTCAAAAAACTTAAAAAGAGGATGTTGACTGAGATAATTAGTACTCCATAATCAGTTAGCATATTACTCCCAATCTCTTGTATACAATTATGGGACCATGCGGTACCGCCGGTACGGATGATGTCTCTATTAACATTTTGAAACATCGTGTATTTATATTTACAGTTCACTAAAAAACAAAACATTGTGTATTTTTGTTGTTATTAAGGGTCCACGGTCTTGATAATTTTGTTGAAACATTAAAAACTGATACTTTTCAACAAAGTGCCTTTTCTTTGATATAACCATCACCATGAAACATTGTTCTTCTTACTCCTGTTTTTTTCATATCTATCAAAATTTGTGCATGGCTAGTAGTAATGAGTTTATTTGTTTCTTATTATATACTACATCTTACAGAGCACCATTTTCTTTTCCCTTGCCTTGATCAATTTTCTATTTGGTTGGGAGGGGGTGGAGGATACTTTCTTATACATAATAATCATCATCGAGAATATGGTATGTCTTACTTTTGTTGTCTACTCTTATTTTCTTTAAATGTTTCAAAATGGACAGTGTATCACAAAAGATGGATTTGAGCTCACCAGAGTTACACTAGTAGATTTTAAAGGGCAGGTATTGACTATCCATCTATCCCTTTACTTTGACCCATAGAGTAATTGTTCACATTGCTTAACTGATTCTTTGATGTGTATCCTTTGATTCCTCTCCTTTTTAATATTGTTGGCAAGTTCAAAGGCTCGTACTCCTCAAGAGTATTTCCGTCTTTAATGAATATCTTCTTTTACCTTTACATCCAATGTAAAGACTAAAGAGAACCATGCTCACCTTTGGTGTACACCAATGATACACCTGAGGCTGAGAGTCTGAGGTACAAACAACTATTGTGTGTGAAGTGCAACGGTGTAACATTGGTATACACTTTTTGGTGTACAAAAAGTTGTATCCATGTTTAGAACCTGACTTCGCCATTTGTGTGGTTAGTTTGAAAGAAATACCATTTGAATAGACTTGGAAAATGGATATTGAGTCTCCTGAAGTGAACATTGGATTGTGAAAATATTTATTAGTCTAAAGCTTGCTTTGAAACATGCTTTTAGCATTTTTATTATCTGATAGCTATTTCATGTAAAGTAGCAGCATGTGACTACATCTAATCTCGTAAGTCGTATCATTCTAAAGGAAAATTTTTCAATTTGGCATTTCCTGTTCTGTAAAATCTGAGTATAAATGTTACATAGTATTTCTTTTTTTTATAATTTACAAAGTTGTCGAGTGCCATGAACAGTTTTTTTACTCTACCTGCAGCATCATTGGTCAATATTACATATAATACATACTCCCTCCGTCTCACTTGTTTCTTTATACTTGCCATTTTTGTTATCTCATTTGTTTCTTTACACTTCCTTTTTTCGTTTCACTTTATATCTCATCAAATCAATACCCCACCTCCAAATTTAAACCACCATCTTTTTCCCTTCTACTTTATACCCATATTACCACTTTTCTATCACTATTCCCTCTTACTTTTTTGTCACATCAAGGGTCATCATTTTCCTTCTCAAACACTGTAAAACCTTATGTCAAGAACCAAGTGGTACGGAGGGAGTGACCCTTACTAGCCGTAGCTATTAATGCATTGCCTAGGCATCCTGACACTAAGATTTCGTATTTTAGTTTTTTTCATATTATGGCGTGTTTTTTAAGTACGTGTGTTTGAAATTTTGATTAGGTTTAGAGTACACGTATTTTTATATTTAAATTTGTGTTCCTTAGTGTTACTAATGTATACCGATCCTTATTTCTTATGTGTTTCCGCCTAGGTCGCCTAACCATGGTGCTAGCTGATCTATTAAATTTTGGCAAGATGTCTGGAGAGCCTTTTTTTTATCCAATGACTTAGATTTTTCTCTAATCGATGATATTTGTCAAAATCTTGCAGGTTGTATTAGATAAATTGGTTAGGCCACTGAATGAGATTACTGATTACAATACAAGGTATTTTCTTGTACCTTCACAAGTCTCTTCACGATAATACTTTTCCATATTGTAGGCTTTTAATGAAGAATTTTTCTTCTAAAATAAATTTCTCTGTTGATGATAGTCTGGTATAGTAGTTTTATAGAGCATGTAAAGAACAGAGATGAAATAGGCTAAAAAAACTGAATCAGAAAGGAAAAAGTTGGTTCATATTCAAAACACTAGAATATCTGCAGGAATTGAAGCTGGTCCCACGAAATCTTTTTTGCCTTGCTGGTTTTTAGACTCATTCATTCCTTTACATGTGTAGGTAGTTGATGGTATTGAATTTGGTTAATTTGACCTTTGAAAACATCCTTCTCAATCCATCAGGTTTTATCAAACAAAAGTCATCATACCTAAAAAATCATGAGGGTAGCCCCTGCTGATGTGGATGGGGTATACTATTAGCATCATTGAATGACCATTCATAAATGAAAAAATTGGTCTCTCCATGGTTAACTTTTATAAATGGTGTTAGGTTCTTTTCTGCATGTATGAACACATGGATTTAGACACCTCTGAGTGAGCAGAAAATCTGAAATTGAACCTGCTAATATTATCATGTGCAAAATATAACCATAACATCATTTTTCTAAAAAGTAAACTATTGAGTGGCCAAATATACGACCATTTTGTGCAATGTATGGGATTGAATTTGCTCATCCTAGCCTGAGGAACTAAATAAATGAAATAGACAAAAGCACATTTCCCCTTCAAATATTAATGGAGTCTATAATTGAAATCTCTTTAGAAGCATTTTGGATATAACTTTCACCCATACTTATGGAGGTTGTTACTTTATTGTAGAAATTTACTACGGAGTATTTTTAAAAAGGATTAAGATACATGAATGAAATTATATGCTTGAACTACCTCTGGCTAGAAGTGAAATTGCAATTGAGGGGCATGAGTATATATACAGTGACATTGTATATGTAGCATGAATGCATGATAGTCATATTCCAGCTATTATGATTCTTTTGTTTTTTATTGGATCGATATACTCGAGCAATTATGATTCTTTTGAGGTATGCATCAGGGACGTTTGTGGTTTATGATTCTTTGATTTCAGGTACAGTGGGATAACGTTTGAGATGCTAGATGGGGTGACTACTACTCTTAAAGATATTCAGGTTCGTTAGCAGGATCTTTTGCTGGGTAATTTGCTCATTGATCGTCGGGAAAAAGCTTTTCTATTGGGAACATTTCTGTATTGGACTTTCTTAACTTCTAGTTTGCTTGGTATTCAAACTCCTCTTTTTGTATTCTGTTCTGTTCAGGAGGATTTTCTACAACTGGTATATAAAGAGACTGTTCTGGTTGGGCACTCATTAGAGAATGATTTATCAGCTCTAAAGATCATTCACGATTTGGTTATTGACACAGCTGTGTTGTACAAACACCCAAAAGGAAGTTCTTACAAAACCGCACTTCGTGTTCTGACCCGGAAATTTCTTGGAAAGGAGATCCAAGATTCTGGAAATGGGCATGATAGCATTGAAGATGCAAGAGCTACAATGGAGCTGGCATTGTTGAAGATTCAAAATGGTAACTTTGCTGTCCTCTTTATGTGCTAGTACACAAGATACAAACTTATGCATTCAAATTGCTTGTACTGTGGTGCCAATATAATGTAGTGTAGTGTGGTGGGGGAGGGGCAATGATGGGACAAGGGAGGGGCAGGTGGGAGGATTATGGTGTTTTCTCTTCTTTTTCTCACAAAATGGAAGGAAAATCACTTTGCCATTTTTACGTTACATTTCCCTCACTTTTTCTTTTCCTTTCTAACCAAACACTTAAATTGCTTTTTTCTCATCATTTTCTTTTCTTACCCCTTTTAAATTTCTTGAACCAAACAGATTGTAAAACTTATTTCCAAGATCCAAGATGGTTTGGAGCAATTTACTAAAACCATCTCCCGTTTGCCTTCACATAAATTTCACTTAAAAAGAAAAGTTGACTTTAAAACCATTCTTTTTGGGACAAAAGAGCTGTGGACCTGAACCCTTTTTAAAAAATGATAATTGAGATGGAGTAATTTTGATATTTCTTTATTTGAGCAAAAACATTAATAAGATTTTACTCTTTGATATTTTTCCATGCAAATGCATGTAGGTTTTCCATGGCATCTCTCTATGTACAATAGATCTAATCTTTTATGGGCACCACAATCCAATTGAATTGCGAAGTGAGAAATATCATGTTTTATTTTGTATGAAGTGAAAGAGGTCGAAGGGCTTTTGATGGACTGTACTTTAACTCTTTAAGGAAGTTGCATTCCGAATTTCATTCTAATTCTTGTTTTGAATTTCTGGAACTAGGACCTGATTTTGGTTCGCCACGGTCACTTTTTATGCGGAAGAAACTCCTCACCGTGTTGAGTGACTCGGGGAAAACCTCCTCCATAATTGATAATATATCCATAGTGAAGAGGTATGCCTCTGAGTCATCCCATTCAATTGCAGTGTCATCTGATGATGAAGCTCTTTCAAAAGCAAATAAAGAGGTAAGTAAATGCGGCTTGTATCTTTTGTCCACAAAAAAAGGACGTGAATGTACACTACATATCTAATGGGTATCCCCCTGTTTCTTCCCCTCTTATTTTGGTCACCATTGCAGGCGAGAAATAACAAGGTGCATTTTATTTGGACCCAATTTTCAGAATTGTATTCCTTCTTCAAGAAGGAAGCAGATGACGCCGATAAGTTAAATAGAAAGTTAGCACAGATGATAGCAATGCAAACATGTGAGAGGAAGCCGTCAAACAAAAAGGGCATCAAGTATGACATAACACCAGAATTGAAGAACATTCTTAATCGCATGGATGGCAGGGTTAAAAACCTGTATTCCAATCTACCTCAGAACAGCATGCTTGTTATCTGCACCGGTCATGGAGACACTGCAATTGTTCAACGGTAAATATGATGGAATTCATCTTTGAAACCTTGTTTTGCTTGGATATGGATATTTTATTGAAATTGTTTCATATTTGATATATTTACCTCATGTCTAGAGTGAGGAAGATGCTGTTGGAACAAACTGAATCTGCGATGAACAGGCAGGAGCTTGTTAAAATCTTGGAGGACTTGCAGGCCCAGGCTGAGGTGGGCTTGTGCTTTGTGGGTGTCAAACATTGATTAGGGGCACAAATGACTGCGGGCGCATTGTATGTATGGTAAGCATGGGCAAGCCCTCATTTTGGATTAGCATTTGAACCTCCACTGCCTAGTCATAGGCAATTTTTGTTGTGGTTAAGTTGCTTCACACGGCAACAACATTCTCAAGCAAGCAAAACTTGGCCCTAAACGGTTGTGTTGGCGGTCCCATAACTTCCTTAGCTGCTCATGATGCTTCTCGAGATGTAGCTCTCGTGTCGTGAATCACATTCGCCTCGAAGAAGCTAGAATGTGAAAATGTGAGGCAAGAGAGTGCTATAACTTGATTGTAAGGAAGACATTCATAGCATGGTTTGAGTTTAGTGTATTAGTTTTGACACTTTTGGTTAAGGTTTCTTTAAATAACTGTCCAAAAAAACTTTTGACTCCATCCATGCATGTTTGTGGGCCCAAACCTTGATTATTATTTTAAAGTTAGGGAGCGTATAAAATGGCACCACTTATACACCAATTGCTTACACCAGTTTGCTTGGAATACCTACGGTGTCCCGTTTGTAAAAATAACGGTTCTTACCCCCTAACCCTCCTAATTAACCCCCACCCCAACCCCCTGGTAGGTTGCGGTCTTACTACCACCCCCCATTTTTCCGGGCTAAATTGATGTATTAGTACTTCAAGTTAATGTATTGTGTATGTTTAGTAATTTAACTTTAAAAATCCTATAAATAATCTTTCAAGTCAAATTAGTATTGCACAATTGGTTCTTTCGTTAAATTTTTTTGTTAGCCCATGCGTTCTTCCATTTTCATTGTAGATATGGGTGAAGAACACTTTTTTCATACAACTAGGTCATATTCAACTAACTCATATCCTCCAACCATTTTAGGGACGGAGGGAGCATTTGTACTGATGCTTGGGCTACAATTTGCTATGTGATATAGAAAGCCGGAAACAAGAAATTACATATCATGCAAACTATTATAGTGTGCTGATTATGTTAAATTTAACCTCACACCTTTTGTCAAAAGTAACTTAAGAGTGATTGCATTATGTAAGGGGTGATTATATGTTGAGCTCTGGGTATATTGTATGCTTGAGATTTGAGGTGATAATATATTGTGTTGTGGTTCCAAAAAAAGTTATTCTTTTTTTAGTCTAATTTTAGTTAATACTCCGTAATAATTAGTTACTTTTGCTTTTATATGCTCTATATATATTTTAAATATCACTACTTAAAGCGTGTATCAAATTTTGACTTTTCATAAAAACATAATAAGTACTTTGTATGTTTTGTAATACAATTTAAATTGAAATTGCGTTAAAGATTAACCTTGTTTGTTTGCAAAATTTTAACTTGATAAACAATTAGTCACAATTTGACAAACTTAACCATTTTAAAAAATTGTACGACATTTACGTGACTTAAAAAATTAGTTGAGAAATTTTTAGAGTTGGAATGCTAAATGCACATAATACGTTAACTTGAAAGAGTAACTGTTACTTAAGACTTTATTTGGCATCAATGTAAGAGATTAGCGTTAATGTTTTGAAAAGGCTATCCGACATTAGCTTTCAGCATTGTCATTTTCAGAATCAATTTATACCATTAGAATTTTATACAAAACACTAATATTAATCGAGAATTCTATTACCAAGCAAGATTTAAATCTCTTTAAGACTAGTGAGAAGGTGTCCTTCTCGAATGTAAGCTTATCCTTTACACTCATCCTTTACACAAACATTTCTTATTGTCAACACTATCTATCTATATCCTCACATATGCACTCTCATTAGTAACACATCACCATTATTTATTTTAATTAAATAAAAATTAAAATTGATTTAAAATTATATTAAAAAATAAATTAAATAAAAATTAGTGATAAATTAACAAGGGGGGACGACGTCGCAGGCCGGGAGGGCAGCGGCGACGTTGATTACGGGCGGTCTACGTGCGCCGCAGGAGGTTTGTTTTAAAAAAAAAGGGATTTTGACGGCGTGTAAAACCCTAGGCGACGAGTGCGGAAACAGGTGCGATCAACATACCTTCTTCTTTTGCAATTGCCGCCGGACCAATGGAGAAGGGGAAGGGGTTTCTTGTGAGTTCAAAAGCAGAGCTTGTGCGGAGGCAGAAGGAGCGGAAGAAATCCAAGTCTGGCGGGTTTGAATCGCTCGGGCTTAGCTACAATGTCTTCAGAGGAGTCAAGCGCAAGGGGTATAGACTCCCCACCCCAATTCAGAGGAAGACCATACCGCTCATTCTTTCCGGTAACGACGTTGTTGCCATGGCTCGGACCGGCTCCGGCAAAACTGCTGCTTTTGTTGTCCCCATGCTCGAAAGGCTCCAGCAGCACGTGCCCCAGGCCGGAATTAGGGCTCTCATACTTTCTCCCACCCGAGATTTGGCTCTTCAGACTCTCAAGTTCACCAAAGAGCTTGGGCGCTTTACAGGTTGCTGTTACTTATTTTTATAAAGATATTTGCCCACAAAGTAAAATTTTGTTTTGGGTTTTGAGTTATTAGCACACGACTGATGATGGCTTAAGACTTACCTCACTTTCAAAGAGCTTACTTGAATCATACATGTTTTGATTTTTTATTCTTGACTTCCTATGTAGATCTCCGTGTAAGCTTATTAGTTGGTGGTGATAGTATGGAAAGCCAATTTGAAGAGTTGGCACAAAGACCCGATATTGTGATTGCAACTCCTGGCCGGCTTATGCATCATTTATCAGAGGTAGATGATTTGTCCCTGCGCACTGTGGAATATGTGGTGTTTGATGAAGCCGATTGCCTGTTTAGCATGGGGTTTGCTGAGCAATTGCATACAATTCTCACTCATCTGAGTGAGAATCGTCAGACTTTGCTTTTCAGTGCAACTTTGCCTAGTGCCCTTGCGGAGTTTGCCAAGGCTGGTCTTCGAGACCCACAGCTTGTACGGCTTGATTTGGATACTAAGATAACCCCTGACTTGAAGCTTGCATTTTTCACTCTAAGACAGGAAGAAAAATATGCAGCTCTCCTATATCTGATCAGAGAGCAAATAGGTTCTGATCAGCAGACATTAATTTTTGTCTCCACCACGTATCAATTGGAGTTTCTTAACCTTATCATGAGAGAGGAAGGTATTGATGCATCTATTGCTTATGGGAAAATGGACCATGAGGCGCGTAACATCAATATTTCAAAGTTCAGAGCAAGAAAGACAATGATGTTTATTGTAACTGATCTTGCAGCCAGGGGGATTGATATCCCATTGCTTGATTATGTTATTAACTTTGATTTCCCTCCGAATCCTAAACTATTTCTCCATCGAGTTGGGCGAGCTGCCCGGGCTGGTCGCACTGGCACAGCCTATTCTTTTGTCACATCTGAAGACATGCCTTACTTATTAGATCTTCATCTCTTTTTATCGAAACCACTCAAGGCTGCTCCCTCTGAGGAAGAGGTTTTACAGAATATTGATGGAGTTATGTCTCAAATAGATCAATCTATTTCAAAAGGAGAAACTGTCTATGGACGTTTTCCCCAAACCGCTTTAGATCTCCTCTCGGACAGAGTCCGAGAAGTCATTGAATCCTCCACTGAGCTGATGACTCTTCAAAAACCATGCAAGAGAGCGTTTTGTAGATATTCAAAGACAAAACCAAAACCTTCTAGGGAATCTGTTAAAAGAGTAAAAGAACTGCCTCGGGAAGGATTGCATCCACTTTTCATAAACTTTCTGGGTGGTACTGAACTAGCAGCGTCAGCCTTTTCGGAACGTCTAAAAAACTTCAGGTGGCTAGATGTAGTGTTCTTTGGATAATTTTTTTAAATAAGGTTATGCTCATATTCTTTTAAATTGCTGCTTTCTTTTAGACCAAAGCAAACCATCCTGGAAGCTGAAGGTGAAGCTGCCAAGTCAAAACATCGAGTAATTTTTGTAATTTTTTTAGTGCTACCTGAGTACCTGATGAATTGTGAATGAATTCTCGTTATGCTATACAAAGCTAATTTAGGCCTCTCTCCCTCTCTCTTTAGGACATAACAGCTGTTTAGTCTTCACAGAAAACTTATACGTAGTATTTTCTTAGCAGTTTACTCTAGTGTTATGACTCAAAGTTAATGTTACAAACAAATTCAGAATTTCAGATGAGCATAAGCAAAAAATGCAGAGAGAATCCTCAGTTTGTTTGGCACTAAGTAATAGATAATGCTGTTGTCTAGTATATTGAATTGAGAAGTCGAATTACAGGGTAGCCAGCTGGTTGATGTGATGAAGATGAAAAGAGCAGTCCACGAGGATGTCATAAATAAAGTTCGCCAACAGCGCTGCAGTGATCATTTGTCTAAGGCAAAGCTTTCTGTTCCATTTCTTTGTCTTACTCTAAATAGCTTTCTGTAATCATCCTATCTCTATGTCTTTTGGAAACAACATTCTGTAATTGACCCATCTCATTACCTTTTAAAAAGGGTGACCATACCTTTTGGTTTTTCTACTTCATCTCTTCAAGACATCAATTGCTGCCTTTTAGTGATTTTGCTTTGTTGTTTTAATTTGTTTTAATATTGCTCTATATTAGGATAGGGCTGAAGACTGCATTTCTACCCAAGTTATGAAGAAACCAGGTTATGATCACTCTTTATCATCTTTAGCTGCAAATTATAACTCGAATTTGATTAAGAACTACTCCGTATATTCTACTCCCTCCATCTCTCATAAAGGTTCCACGTTTGACTAAGCACAGAGATTAAGAAAAGTAAAATTATGTGGTTGAAAGTGTTGCAGAGGAGAGAGAAATAAAAGCCACAAAAACTTTTCCAAAAGTGAAAAGTGGAACCTTTTTTTGTGATGGATTAAAAAAGAAATTCGGAACCTTTTTGTGGGACAGAGGGAGTAATATTTTGACAAATCATTTTGCATATTGTGATGGAGTAGTGAAGTACATCCTCAGTTTTTGAAAACCTGTCACAAGAAGCATGGAGCTTGTCATTGGTAGTTGTGGATGTAAACTTCAAAGATTATTACTCAACCAATTATTATGTATATTTCAATATGAGCATGGTCTTAAATCATACTCATTTGCTTTTGTTTGTTAGCTATTTTTTCAAAGTAAGCTACACATACAGTGCATATTAACATCTTGATGTGAACATCTTATATTTTCATCAATTAAAGAGTTCAATTCATTTTTAGGAGAATCTGGATCTAAAAGAAAAGTTAATAGCTTCAAGGATGATGAGTTCTTCATAAGCTCTGTTCCAACAAATCAGGTATAATTTTTTTGAGATATACGAGAGATACTGGCCTATGAATTTCAAGTAGTAGGTTGTTAACTGCTCTCGGCATTGGAATTTGGAACTGCATGTGCATGTATTTCGTTGGAACACTGATTTGTGTATTTTGAACTGATGTCTGGATCTCAGCATTTTGAGGCTGGACTTTCCGTGAGGGGTAACCAAGGATTTGTATCCAATAGGTAAATACCTGCATGCAATATTTGTCTTAGGATGTGATTGTTCTCATTGCAAATTATCATATAATATTTTTAGATGTTTGATAGTATTTGGTGTTCACTAGGTTGGATGCTGCTGTTATGGATTTAGTAGCTGATGACCCAGACGGGATGCATAAGCAAAAAACATCATACCATTGGGACAAGGTACAGTCGATGCATTGAACTCTATCTTCAACTAGCTTTGTAGCCGGTCTTGTCTTCTTCTTCTTTCCTTAAAGTAAAACAACTATTTGTGCCTAATACAGAGGAGTAAAAAGTACATCAAGCTGAATAATGGGGACCGTGTGACTGCCAGCGGGAAGGTACTTTTTTGCTCTTCACCTGTCAGTTTTGTATCTCATCGGACAAAAATCTTGCCGTTCTATTTCATTGGATCTTTTTTTTATATAATTTGTTTTGAGAATTTGAGATCTGTATCATCTTCTTTGCATGGGATTGTTGACTGGTGTGCTCATGTGGGGGACAGATTAAGACAGAGGGGGGTGCAAAGGTGAAAGCGAACAAAACTGGGATTTACAAAAGATGGAAAAATGAGTCGCACAAGAGAATCTCTCTCAAAGGGAACGATATGGATAGCACTGCTGGTGAATCAACAAGCTCATCTGGTGCTGGTTCGGGTAGATTTCAAGGTGGCCGTGCTAAGTTTGGAAGGAAGCGACATGTGATACCCAATGCCCATTTGCGTCCAGAGATTAAAGACCGCGAGCAAATTCGGAAAGAGAGGGAGAGAAAGGCAAGCACAAAAGAGTTCTTGAAGAGTAAATCCTCTGGCAAGAACAACAAGGGGAAGAACAAGTTCAAAAGAGGTGGTGCTGGCAAGAAGGGTGGGAAGGGGAAAAAGGCATAACACCAAAAGGGAGAGAGAGAATCAAAACTCAAAAGGCTTACATGCTGAGGATTCAATTATGGACCAGTTTTTCTTGTGACCTTTTTTTTTTACTGCTGTTGTTTTTTTCAAACCTTACTCAGTGAAGGACTGCCAATGTTCTTGGTTTTGTTTAGTGTTAAGTGAATCTATAGGAAAGTTTGGCTTGGGACAAGGGAGAGGTGCTATTGTAGTTTATTTTCTTAGTTTTTTTTATACTAGTTTGTAAGTTAAAAAAATTGATTTTTCAAAGCATTTGTTTTAATAATAAGATTGTGGTCTTCCAGAAATACTCCTTCCATCCTGTTTATCAATTAAATAAATAGAGAAAACTCTTGACTTCAAAGCTCCTGATTTTTCTGTTCTCTGTAGTTAGTATTTATGAAATTTCAGAAATTTTGTTTTGCTTTTAATAATTGATGACACAATAGGAAAAAAAAAAGCAAAAAACAACATACTCCGTATATTGCAATTAAACGTGTTGTGGGTTCGAGTGGAGGAGACTACGACTACACCTTTTGTCTAAGACACAAGTCACTTACTTTGTGAATATATAATCAATTATGTGTTCAGTATTTAGAAGGTGTTTGGTAGTGTGATGCCTTTAATCATTTAATTTCTACTTTGAGTAGAAGTAATTTTACTCTGTTTGGCATGTCAGCGTCTGCTTTTCATCAACACTATTTTGTACACAGAACACCGTTTCGGAGAAGTATGTAGGAGGTGCTTTTGCTTTCAGCTTTTGTGAAAATCACTTTATCCATAAGTTAATCATTCCCAAACACCCTCTTAGGACTTAATATTTGCGTGTGAGTTATGGTTTAGGGTCTAATTGTGTGTAGATTGGACGAAATTGTTAACAATTTCTTTGGTAAACACCTTCAGCCTTGAATACAATGTGATTGGACGCAAAGATAAAAGCTACTCCCTCCGTCCCCCTAAGATGTTCTCATTTTGACTTTTGGTAGTTTTTAAGGAGAGTTGAAAAAAGGTGAAAGTTTACCATAATACCCTTAATGAAAAATGGGTGGAGTGTATTAAATGAGGTGGGTGAGGTGTAATAAATAAAGTAAGTGGGAGTAGTTGTGGTTTTTTAGTTGTTAAAAAATGAAATGAGAAGATCTATTGTGGACAAAGGAAAAGGGCTATTGAGAAGATCTATGAGGGACGGAGGGAGTATTTGGTTGATTTGACAAAGTTATTTCAAGGGGTCTAAATAAGTAAATGATATCATATCATCATATATATCATACTGTATTTTTTTACTACTCCGGGTATAATATTTGAGACCTAACACCCTAGAATTTTAATATGTGGATAGTTTACTTGGCACTGTTTTTGACAACTCAACCGTCCACCTATGTTACTACCTACGAAGTAATAACTTGTGAAAATTGCACTAAATAGGACTAAAACATAATGACTTTCCTAATATGAGACTTAAACTTTTGTATTCTCTAAATAAGACTTAATAATGACTTAGTGGAAGAAATAATGTCCACTAATGATGAACATTTAGTTGAATAATGACTATTTGATAATGACCAAAGATCCTACATTAGGAAATAAAAACATATGGTCTATATTGGGAAAGTCATTATGTTTTAGTCCTATTTAGGTAAATCTCTCTAACTTGTGAAAATTTATTTGGGTTTTTAAATATGCAAATATTGTGTAGGCCTACTAGCATAATCTTCATTTGTGAAATAAATGTTAATAATAAAAAATATACTACCTCCGTCCCGCTATATTCGTCCATTTTTTACTTTTGGAACTGTTAATCTAAGCACTTTGACTCAGCAAAATTCAATATCATCATTAAAAGATAAGAGCAATACATAAGAGATAAGCGAAGAGAACGACCTGATTGAACAAAAAAATACAATAAAGACTAAATTGATTTCATTTTGAGTACATGGACTAATTTGAATATTTTTAAATAGTTTACGGATCTCTAGGGTACTTTGCCCAATTTAATATTACCATTTGAGAAATAACTCACATATTGTTTTAGCTTCATTATACACCAACGTAAATGCTCTCATGAGCTTCACTATACACCAACAATTCTGTTCTATGTGCACAAATAGGGAGTACTCTGTATTAATCAAGCTAACTTATCCAATCAAGGGGAGAGACTAAACTTGAAAATAGTAGAACCTATGATGAATTTGTCAACCAAATTAATCAAGGCTGGTTAAGATTTCACACCAAAACATTCACACTTTTTAGCGCATACTAACTGGACCACAAGTTTGAAACACCAAAGAGATTCATCTTCCTCTATGAATCATCATCATTGTAGGAGAAAGTAACCTTCTTACCACAATGATGTTTCTTCATATTAATTTCTTCTACCCAAATGCATTCTTTCTGTGAGAAGTCTTCATTCCTGGAATATAAAACTCCTTGTGATCTCTCCATATAAACTAAAACATTTCACCTAAAGTGCTCTTGATAACAAAATTCAAAAAGAAAATAGTTAAATCCCATACCAAAGCTTCTCTGCGGGGTTGTACCTAATAAACAAGTATAATCACATTAGATTTATGAAATGACATTTTTTATATAAAAAATCGAGTAAGATAAACAAATCTCCAAAATGTAGACGAAATAATTTACTTGGGTCGGAGAGGGTACGGTGCTACCTCAACCATACCGAGATAAATAAAACGACCACGGTATATTTTTCGTCTGGGGCTATCTCAGTCACGCCAAGAGTGATATAATTACCACACAACTTTTCACCACTCTTCTTTTCCCGCGCCTGCAATATAACAGATTTAATCAACATTGGTACTTACAAAGAACTACTTGTGTAATTTTGTATACACTACTTTCAAATGACCATTAAAAATACATTTCATCATTACTACAAAACTATTCTCACCTTCTTGGCTTTGTCCGCAGAAGCAAACTGAACAAAATCATAGAGGATAAAAAATTAGTCATGAAAAACTGGCTCCAAGAACAAAAGAGGAAATTAAAGGAGCTATTTACATGTCTGATATTTTGGTTTCGCAAGAGAGATTGTCAATAAAGAGCGTCTTTTCCCTTAAGGCAACTGCCTGAATTTAACAGCCAAGTGTGTTAGCATGACTATAGAAAAGGACAACAAAAAAAGACTCAGTTAAAGATTCATCCCCATAATTAGTCATCTCTGTGGCAGCAGCGCTAGGCGCTTATTCTGAACGCCAATTATACTTGTATCGTGCAATTGACATAGGTGGAGGGAGACGGGGAGTAGTTTGTGTCGAGACTTGGCGGGGGGTTTACCGGAGGGTTAGGGGATAGAAATCATCAATTTCATGAACGGAGCTTCGTATAGAGTCAATTAGTGTGGTGTCGGGCTCGTTCAAATATAGAGTCAATTAATGTGGTGTAAGGGCGTGATTGTGACTTGTGAGATTTAATCGGGCTCGTTCAAATATAACTGAATGGGTAATGAGTCAATGTTTGGGTCAATTAGTATAGAGTTAATTAGTGTGGTGTCGTTTAGTGCACTTTACATATTTATTTAATTAAAAAAACAGTGGATAGTTTCTACTCCCTCCGTTCCTTTAAACCCTTCCACTTTTGACTTTTGGCAAAAATAAGGAAAGTGTAATTTTGGTTGACTTTCCAATTTTGCCCTTGATGTGATGGGTAAAAGTAAGATGTGATAGTTTGGTTATTAGGAAAAAAGTTTGATGTGATAGGTAGAGTATGAAAAAGTAAGGGTAAAAGTGGTTTTTTAATAGAAAGTGGAAGTGTTTTAGGGAATTCAAAAAAAACGAAAGTGGAAGAATTTTGTGGAACGGAGGGAGTAAAAGGCAAGGGAGTTATGAGTAGTTTCTAATGTTAATAGGTGTGTTTGCTTGTAATAGTTGTGTTGGTTAGTAAAACTTGTGTGTTGTGTTGGTTTGTTCTCTATTTATATTAGAAAATACAATGAATCCTGCAATGGTACACATCAATAAAATATTCTACTTTGCTTTGATCTGGTATTGTGTAACAACGTTATTAATTTTAATCTTTGAGAGGTATAATCTCACGAAATGCCAAATGATTCAAGACCATATTCAATATAAAATAGTAAAAAGTAATTGGTCTTTTCTTAACTTAAACTATTCGGGTAAAATTTATTAGCTTTTGCTTTATGTCTTTTTCATTTCAAATAAGAGAGTATTATTTTATTACTTTTTATTATGTGTACTATGAATGTTTTTTTTTTGAAAACAAGCAAACTGTATTAAATTTGAAGAGATACAAAGTTAGGAGGGGAAGAATCTCAATACATAATAGAAGTTTGCCCATAGACAGCGGCAGCAGAGAGTGAGCACAAAAGTTAGACGATCGAGGAATAAAACTGAAGGAACAATTATTAAACCCCTGTTTATGTTTCCTGCAGTCCGAACTAGTGATGCCAATATAAGAACGATCTTCCATACAAGGGTTTGCCATGTTGTGACATAAGGTTGCACAGTCAGAAAGCACCTGAACAGACGTCACCCCGCGAGACTTTAACCAAATGAGCACCTCTTTAGCAGCCATCGTCTCTGCCAATAACGGACACAAGCAGCAGGAGAGGGGTCCATTCACAGCCCCCAAGAAAGCTCCATTATGAGAGTAGAATATAGCACCAAACGTACCTGAACCAGAAGCATGTGAGAAGCTAGCATCAACATATATAGCAGGTAGGGAAGCAACTGAGCGAAGCTTCATCTGACTGCTGATGATTATCGAGGAGAGGAGAAGGGACTTGGGCTGACATCCAAGTTACCAATTTGACCCGCGCCAAGGTGCAAGTGACTCGAAGGGTTGGTAATTTCTTCTCCCAGACTACTGAATTTCGTGCCTCCCAAATCCCGTGCATAACCCCAACGGCCAACTCTACTTTCTCATGGTTTAATGCGCTCAACACCGATTGTAACCACTGCGGGAAATCCATTCTTGACCCATTATGCAATGACAATCTAGATTCTCTCCACACCTGCCTAGCATAAACACATGTGACAAGGGAATGCATGACAGTCTCCACATACACACCGCAAATAGAACATAAAGGATCCACATTAACTTTCCTAGCACAAAGATTGGTGGTGGTAGGACGAACATCCCTAGCGGCTCTCCAAAAACAAATTTCATACTAATACTCCTTAGAAAATTAGAACTTCATACTATATACGAGCCCGTGAAAAGCACGTGGTTGAAAACCAGTTAACTAATGAATGGGTGTTAATTTTTATGTTTAACTTAAACTATGGAATAGGTCACCTAGTAGGTTTAGGCAAATCTGAGTTAAATCGGCTATTGGAAATTCGTAGAAAGATTGAGATTAAAAATTAGGTCATGCGTGTGTCCTCGCACACCTGATGATCTCGATGGTTAAAAACGTATGTACAATGGTCACTGACCGAGCCTGTGGGACCCTCAACCCCCCTCCATTGTGAGAACTTTGGAGTTGAACAAGGGTTCAGGTGAGAACCTAGATTGCACGACTCTAACGAGAATGATGTGGATTATGCCATATAGGCAAGTGAAGTAAAGCTTGTGCAAAATCTAAACTGAATAAAAGGATGGTTAACCATATGGTTTAATAATGATATTTGCTCATTCTTCAGATATTGTCTATTAATTTACATTAATGAATGTTAGTCGATGAATTTGCCCCGGTGTTTGATATTTTCGCGCTCAATACCATGTGCAGGTAGAGATCAAAGATTATACGAGCAATTTGGAAGACACTAAGACGTGACGTTGGTGGATGACCCAAAATTAATTGAAACTGAATTAAATACTTTGTTGACTTTATTTTGTTTAAACTTCAAGAATGTTTTAATGATGTTTTAAAGGCTTCCACAACATTTGGATTATTTTACTCTAATAGACTCTTGATTTATTTTTAATTAATATGAATGTATGTTTTATTTTAAATGTTTTAAAAATATTTTGCATGTAAATATATTAAATTAGTAGTAAATCGGTCGCTAACTCGTTGATTCAGGTCACGCAAGTTGGGTTATTACTTATTGCGTTATAACTAGATCTGACGATATATCTTCTAAAAATACATTGGGCAATTTTAAAATAAAATGTGTTAATTTAAATTGAAATGTTTTTTCTTTTACTAAAATGTGTTCATTTGTAACTCAGACAATTTTTGAGTAATGCTTCAAACGAAAATAGGGAATTTTAAAGTTCATATTTCATAAGATACACTGTCAAATTTATTTCTTTAAACCTCTCGAACAAATATGTTTCTATTGTAGATTATTAACTTTAAAAGTTTCCATTTTTTGTCTAAAACATTACGGAGTTTTAACAATTTAACTGACTAACATACAAATGCATGTCAAATGTTCTGTTTTACCACATTTCAATTTTCTAATTTTAAACCAGCTGGACATTGGATCTAGTTATAATCGTATTTTCTTTATTTTCTATAATTTTCAACTCATACTTAATAATTTCCAACTCGGCATGAAAAATGTCACATATTGAGCTTAGTTGGCAACATGGAGTAATGGTGCAAAATAAAGTAAATTCTGAGAGTATTATTGTCAATTATAGAATTTAGGAGGATTAATATATAATCACAGATTACTTTGAGTATTTATTTGAATGTTTCCTATTATGGTAGGCATCTTTGCTGGTTTCGTTCCACAAATGTGCTTATAATTTCTAAACAAGTTTTTCTTTTAAAAATTTTAACATCGAGAAAAATTGACAAAAGGTAAGAACCAAGGGAGGAAATGGTTGTAAACCTGGCATTCCTTGCTCAAGAGTAGACAATGTATTCTGCTTTTAAAAGAATGGTTTTTCACCAAACAAGATGTTGGAAAAATACTTCCCTAAGTGAACCATTTTCCCAAAAACAAAACACAACCTAATGCATCAGATTTTGTCCAAAGTCATGGGAAAAAAACAATGGATACCCTAAGACCACTTGTAACCTGAATGATTTAGCAATTCACAAAGATCTTCTTTCATTTAGAATAACTCGATATGTACTTGGAGGAGAACTTGATCTTTGCATCAATCCTTTCCTTGTGGAAGAAAGCTTCAAGCTCTGTGTCATCACCATATCCTTGTATATTCTCGATACACACTTCAACAAGGGAGTGCCTCCAACAATTTACAGGCAGATCTTCACAGCAACAACATTTCTTGTCCGTCAATGGTTGTTGGTACGTGAACTGAAAAGGCAGAAACAAAATCATACGAACACAACTGTTACCAACTAACCAAATTTGTACATACCGGTTATGTTTATGGTTTGAAATTTTTGCGCACATAAGTTGCCCAAAGATATAACTTCACACTAAGGTAAAATATAGGAGCAAAGTAGGGAATAGAAGATGATGTTTTACAGGATAGGAGTACCTTGAGTTCCTTCCTAGCAGAACTTTTACTATTGAATATGCATATAGTTTCAGGATGAGGAGCAAGCCACAACAGAGACTCGATAACTTGAGCAGGATGCTCCAATTTTTCACGGAACTTTATCATCAGATGCTTGACAGCATATAGGGGAGGATTATAGTTCGTCCTCACTGACTCCGGAATAATCACATCCTTTGTTAACCAAAATATAAAAATGTCTGATTAATTGATACTACGAATATCAAAATATAAGGTAGAGGCAAGTAATTTTTCAAGAGATATAGCATAACTTACACACACACTCACAAAGAGAGAGAGACGCTTTAAGGTGTGTTTGGTAGTAGGGAATGAGAGGGGAGAGAATGAGAAATTTAATTAATGAATGACTTTTATTTTAATTTAACCTGCTTGATAATTGATTTTTCCCCCCAAAAGTATGCATTACTTCCTACAACTAATAGAATGATATACGGAGTATCAAAGACTATTTCTTCTGTAAGAAGATTCTGATGAACATTTCAATTAGTCAACAGAAAATAAACAGTAATGAACCAAATGAAGGGAACCTACTCATCCCCTTCACCTCCAAAAGGGATAAAACATCCTTATTGAATGAAAGAATATGCAATGGTTACCTCATCGTTAGCCACCTGAAGCGACAATCGTTCAGTCCATCTCAGCCTTGCAAGGGATTTGAGTACGTCATGAAACCACAATTGATAGAAAGAATTAAAGATAATGGAAGCTTCTTTCAACTTGAGAGGTGGACCCTTGCACGCCAAGGTTATAGGATCTTCTCCATCATAAAAGAAGAATTTGAGGTTGGGAGCATCAATTATAACTTTTTCCAAACACTCACAGTCACCAAAAACCAATTCGAGAAGATTTTGACTCGAAACCTCAACATGATGCAACATTGGACAAGTTTTCACTACCAGGCGTTCGAGAATTGGATGATTATTCAGAAAGTTGGCTAAGTCTTTGTCATCCAACAGACAGCCATCTATTTCCAGCACTTTTAGTTTCTTACAAGACCCAAAATCAAATTCAAATTCTATGTCGCCATCAGAAACAATACTAAGCTCACAAAGATTGGGGGCCTCAATCTTAACCACTTGCACTTCTCTCCCATGGTACTCAAAAACTACTTTTTCAAGTTTCATAAGACAACAGATTTCTAGTCTCGCCAAACCATAACAGTCTTTAAGAGTTAATATTTCAAGGTAGGGGCAACTAGCAAGCAAAATCTTCATGCACGCATTGTCTGCAATAACTTGTGCAAGGAATATTTCTCGCAAACAAAGTAATTGGCCATCCACCAACAATGGTGAGCTCAACTTACAATTCACCAATTTCAATTTTTGGATGACTTTGGAGACAAGAACATCCTCGGGAAAACTATATGTACGATGTTCCCATCCACAAATTTTCAATTCCAACTCTTTGACATGGCGCGTAACAGCACTAGCAAGCCAACCATCCAAGCGAGATTCCAACTCTGGATCAAAATGGATGAGGCATAGATTAAGCTTATTTATATCCATATCTGATTTCATAGCTCGATCCAAAAAGGCATACAAATTTGTCCTCAAACTAAGAGGTGACTCCATCGCTTTAAGAGCATCATCCTCACCACCACTCAATCGTCTATAACAGCAGGAATCATTTAGATGTAAAGAGGGCAAGCTTTTGGATAATGCCCTCCAACGGCTTGACAAAATGCTTGTTCTAACAGCTTCCCTGGTTTCTAGAAACGAAAGTATCTGCTGCCTAATTGAGTCGGGTAGGTTAGAGATTCTATCAGATCCATAAGAGTTCATGTCGTAAGCAGGCTTCTTCTCCGCATTCATTTCCATCTGACAAGTGCGCTACTGCATCAAAATATGATTGTCATTATCTTCATACAGAATGGAAGAAATTCTGAGACATAATAAAAAGAGATTAAAAATGTGGATGAGTGAGTTCAAAGGGAATTAGGGCTTCACCGAGAAGTTTGGGGGAAATTGGTGTTCAAAACCCTGCGGAAAATCCTTTGACGGGGCAACTCAACCCACCGAAATCGAATTGCACGCCAAACTCCAGCTCTAAACACAATATCAGATCATATTGAGAAGCAGAAATTTCAGGGAGAAGTGCCGTCCCTAATTGCGAAATCTACGTCTCTGAAGACAAGCAGTGCCGTGGTCGATCGCCTGGCCGGATTATTTTAGAAAGGAAAGATGCCCGTAACTAATAAGGGGGCGTTTGGTTAGAAAGGGAAAGTAAACAGTAAAGAGAATAGAAAGAAAGGCAATGATTACCTTCAATTACCCTGTCTCTCAATTACCATGTTTGTTTGGTTTAGTATAGGAAAAGAAATTGGAGCGGGAGTGAAAGAATTGGAGCTGGAGGGGGAGGAATCGGAGCTGGAGGGGAAGGGAGAGGAAATGGAGCTAGAGGGGGGAGGGGAGGAACATACCTTGACTGCGATGCGGATGGAGTCGCGGTGTGGCGGCAAGACATAGTGTGGCGGCCAGACGCGGCGTGGCGGCAAGATGCAAAAGGGTGGCGGCGAGACGCGGTGGAGTGGCGGCTAGAAGAAATGGACGGGAAAAAAGGATTAGGGAAGGGGAAGAGGGGAATGAGAATAAGAAACCCTTAGAGCACGAACAATGGCAAGTCATATTCTGGAATGTCACTGACATGGCACAGTTCAACCAATCAAAGTTAATCTAGTCATGGTGTGGCATGACATTAGAGTGGTATATCCTCTAGTGGCAAGTAAACATAATATGCACTATATCAATTTCCATATCATATTCAAAAGAGGGGAAAATAGCACTTGCAGTAAGACGGATCAGAGTATATCAATTTCCATATCAAATTGAAGAGTGAGGAAGAAAAAAGATAGAGTCCCGAATCAGAGTATATCAGAGGTACAAAGGTACAGAGATGGGTGATTTTCAGAGCAATTAAACAAGAGATGGAGTGGCAGAGGGTACCGATGATTTTCGCGTCGAAGATGGTGGCCGGCGATGGTGGCGAAAGAGCACTGACGATTGACGGACGATGGTGCAACGGATGATTTCCTTGGGAAGAGAGAAGAGAAGTGCCCAAAGGAGTGACCGGTGATTGCCCTAGATCCCCTTTCTGCTGTTCCTCTTTTGCCTCGCACTTGCCACGATTTTTGGAGTGGCTCGCGACATCGCATGCGATCCAATTTTCCCCTCTCCCGTTGTACAGCTTCACTTTCCACGAATGGCAAGGCGTGACAATGTAAATCTTTGCTGCTGCCTATGCTCTTATAGGAAGTGGGGAATGGGAAGACGGGAAACGGGGTAATCTAAACCCGAAAAATGGAGAATACTTTTTTTTCTAAACAAACTACAACAAACAAAATCTGGGAATTCTATTCCGTATCCCGTTTCCTTTACCCCGAACCAAACGCCCTCTAAGGGGATGGTAACGGTAAACAAAAAAGCAATTTTAAACTGTACTTTTTTTCACTTTTAATACCACCCACTCCCTAGAAACTAACTTCCTAGTTGTTTCACTCATAGTTTTCAAAACCGGACCAGCGACCGAACCGGTCAATGTACTGATTCACTAGTTCATTGGTCAGACCGGTGGTTCAAGTGATTGAACCATTAGTTCATCCCTAAAATTTTCACGTTTTAACTTTTTGTAATTTTTAAGAGTTGAAAAAGATAGAAGTTTATCATAATAACTTTAATAAAAATGGGTAGAGTGTATTAAATGAGGTATGTGAGCTGTAATAAATAAAGTAAGTGAAGATAGTTATGATATTTTAATTATTTAAAAACGTAATGAGAAAGACGAACTTAAAAGTTACCCTAAGCCCAAGGTATTTGGTTGATTTGAGTATTTGACAAAGTTATTTCAAGGGATCTAAATAAGTAAGGAAAATTATCCAAAATAATCTCAACTTTACCCGATCTTTTAAAAATAATTCCACCTTTCACTGTGATTCATAATAATCCCAACTTTATTGAAATTTGTTAATTTTGGGTCGCCGCTAAGTTTTTAACGGAAATACCAGTTTTAGGCAACAAAATGAAAGTTGGATTATTTTTGATGAATTTTTGTTTTTTAGTTTTTTTTTTGTGAAATTTGTATTTAAATTTTTTGAATTACTTTCAACCTCCATTTTTTTCTTTTTTAAAGATTATTCTTACCTTAGAAAAAAAATAGATATAAAAAATAATGAAAATGAGAAAAATAACTAAAATAAGTAAATATATACGGAGTGGTGGGTTTTAACATTTTACACACTATACAAAGGCTTAATGTACTACTTATTTTTGTAAATAATTGTAAATATTTTTTAAAAAAAAATAAGAAGTGATATGTTAATACTTTGTATAATGCGTAAAATATTAAAACCCACCCGTATATTTTTATTTTACTTTTACCAATTTCAAGTTAGTTTCCATTGAATACCTTATTTATTTTATTATTTTTGTATCATTTTAGTTACATTTCTCATTTTTCATTTTTTATATTTATTATTTTTATTTTTTAAAGTAAGACTAATCTTTATAAAAGGAAAAAGAAATGATGATAGAGGTAGAAATTAATTTTAAAAATTTAAATGAAAATTTAAAAATATAAAAAATGAAAATTCATTAAAAATAATCCCAACTTTCATTTTGTTGCCTAAAATGGGCATTTCCGTTAACCCTATGTTAGAAACTTAACGGTGACCCAAAACTGGCAAATTTCAGTAAAGTTGGGATTATTATACATCACAGTGAAAGGTAGGATTATTTTTGAAAGACCGGGTAAAGTTGAGATTATTTTGGGTAATTTTTCCAATAAGTAAATGATATCATATCATATTATCATCACATATATCATATTCCCTCCGTCCCCAATTTAATTACAAATTAGGATTTACGAGGAGAAATATCTCACTTTTTGAATTCATTTTATTTAAAATTTGATATATCGATAAGAAATAAAAATTAAATATTAAAAAAACTTCGTCAAAAGTTTTACAAAACAAGAAGTGACAAGAATATTCTATTTTATCAAATATTTAATGAAACTATGTAAACAAACAAAAGTTATCGAGAGAGAAGAAAAAAATTGCAATCAATTAAGGGACGGATGGAGTATCTTTTTTACCATAATATTTGAGACTTAACGCCCTAGAGATTCAACATATGAATAGTTTACTTACACTATTTTTGACAACTCAACCGTCCATCTATGTTACTACTTACGGAGTAATGACTTAGCAATTCTATTTGGGTTTTAAATATGCAAGTATCGTGTAGGCCTACTAGCATAATCTTCATTTGTGAAATAAGAGGCTTTTGCGATTGGTCTGGTCACTTTGCACACCTTCTGAGCCACTCATATCTTGGGTGATTCAGCCGCAGTCCGTATAGTTATACTTCTTTTTTTCCTTTTCCAATTAGGAGCAGGATTCTAATTTTTTTTCCTTTCCTTACAGCATCTCCAATGGGCATTGTAAATTTTGATAGTGTATATTGTACGTAGTAGGGCTGAGCAACGGTCGGTTTCGGTTTGAAACCGAAAAAACCGACTTTTTTTTAACATGGTTAAAAACCGACCAAACCGAACCGACCATAAATTAAAACCGACCGAACTGAAACCGAAAACCGCCCATACATAAAAAAAACCGACCGAAAAACCGAATTCTAATTACTTTTATTTTGATTTTCTAATATAAATTCAAGAAACTAATTTGGCAAGGTAGATTGATATGTATTAAATTAGTTTAGATTAAGACTTTTCTATTGTCATTGATTTAGTAAAGTAGATTAATTTTTATTTGAATATACACTATCCATTTCATATAAAAATTGCACTTTTCTTATTAATATGTTCAAAACTTTAACAAATAGATTTTTTAAAAGTGAAACATTAAAGTTTTTCATGAAAGAGTAAAAAGAAAGCATGTATGTTAATCAAATATTTTCTTATTTTAAAAAATAAAAAATAAATTAAAATAAAATCATCGGTTATTCGGTCGGTTCGATTTTTGTTACCAAAAAACCGAAAACCGACCGAAAACCCGAAAAAACCGAAATAATTTTTACATGAAAACCGAAACTGAAACCGAACTTCCGGTTATTTCAGTTTTCGGTTTCGCGGTCGGTCCGGTTAATTTGCTCACCCCTAGTACGTAGTATTTTACACTACCAAATGTGTTTTAGCAATCCATTTTTCATAGCTACTCCAATCATGTGTCTTAAATAATACACTTTTTATATATATTATTATTTTTAAAATATTTATTTGTAATAATATTTATATTTTTAAATTTTTTATGGTTAATGCATTTCAAACTATACATATATTGAGTATTTTTATAAGAAACATGAAATATAAATGTATTTTAATAAATATATTAAAAAATGAATTTACAAGATGGGAATAGCATGTAGTGTATTAATACAAGATGAGACTTGCTTTTTACAATATAGTGTTAATTTTACCCTACCCATTGGAGTGGCAATCTTGCTATAGTGTCTTGTATATAATGTATTTTTTACAATATACAAGACCCATTGGAGTTGCTCTTAAACTGATACGTGCGTATTAGTAGAATTAAATATTATTATATTACCCGGAATATAAATTTTTTTTATATATGTTTATTTATTGACCTATTTGACTATTTTGCTCATCACGGTTCACACGAAATTTCAAATTTTTCAAACAATATGCCGTTAGTCACCTTTTTCTCGAGACCTATCCAAAAACCCAAATATCATTGGATGATATTATGTTTATGTCATGTATTTTATTCTTTTTCTTTGTAATCTTTTCGGCTTTGGAACGATCAACTCCCTAACTTTTGTAACTCAGATTTGTATGTGGGACTGCGGGACATGTCGTTGGACTTGTTCCATCGAGACCTTCGATTCGAGTATAATCTTGATGATTAAAAGATCCCAAATAAAGTATCTTATTTTATTTCCATTTCGACATTTAATTAATTTAAGTAGAGATTAGAATTACGATTTATTAAAAAATCTTAATATAATTCTAGGGTATAATTCAGGGCGTTACAAGTACGGTATTGTACGTAGTATTATATACGATGGTATTATAATAAAAATTAGTGTACTTTTCATCATAAGTATATACACTATTTGAAGTACTTTAGAGGGCGTTTGGTTCGTGCTGAGGAAAGGGAAAGGAAACATGAATGAGAATCAGGGGGAAGAGAATGATTACCCCTCAATTATCCTGCCTGTATGGTTCAGTACAGGAAAGGGAATCGGAGCGGGAGAAGAGGAATTGGAGCGGGAGGGAGAGGAATTGGAGTTGGAGAGGGAGGGGGAGGAAACGGAGCTAGAGGGGGAGGGGGGCAACATACTTGGGCTACCGTGCGGATGGATGCACAGTGCGGCAGCGAGACATGTTGCGGCGGCAAGACATGGTGCGGCGGCAAGACATGGTGCGGCGGCAAGACGCGGCGTGGTGGCAAGATACAAGAGGGTGGCGGCTAGAAGAAATGGACGGGGAAGAAGGGTTAGGGAAGGGGAAGAAGGTTAGGGAAGAGGAAGAGTGGAATGGGAACGGGAAACCCTAATAGGGAGCGGGAAATGGAAAGACGGGAAACGGGAAAATCCAAAACTGAAAAATAGAGAAACGGAATGAATTTTTTTTAAAACAAACGACAACAAACGGAATCAGGGAATCTCATTCCATTTCTCGTTTCCCTTACCCCAAACCAAATGCCCCTTAGTACTTTTTTTCATCGTTACTACATAACCAATCTCAGTATATCACCTTTTTTGCATTGCAAGCATAAGCAGACTCCACAAAGGCATAATTAGGAGTGAGCATTTTAGCAGAACCGACCGTGGAACCAATTGAGAAAAACTGAACTGACCGAAATTTTGGCTTTGGTTGGTGGTTAGCAAAAAAAAATTAGTTACTTCGATTAATCGGTCGGTTTTCGATTTTGAACTTAAACAGTTAAAACCGGCCGAAAAACCTAATACAAACCATTTTAGCATAATCCATTCAGATGCCTAGCCCAAAACTAAGTTAACCCGATCTATTGATCCAATTTAGATACCCAACCCAAAATTAATTTGTCCTCAATCCAGAAGAAATGAAATAAATATATCTGTACTGCATGCACCGCACAAAGGCCACAAAGCACTCCCTCTCCTCACTTTCTAAGTTCTTCACCGACTCACCTTCTTCGGCTTCTTGGTCTCTCCAATTGGACGACTGTTTCATCGCCCGATCATTTTGTCATTTTGAATATCATTATAATTTGAACTTGTTTTAAAATATACTTGGATTCTTATTTTTTTATTCAGTTGTGCCTTTGTGGAATTTTGGCATTATTCTCACATTTTGATTTTTGAAGATTATACTAGATTTTAAACCGTGCGATGCACGGTGAAAATATTTTTTTTATTATAAAGAAATAAAAACTACTCCATATAAATTATCACAATGTAGGCTTTAAGGAAATGAGCAAATTCTAAAATTGTTGTTCCACATCTAAACACAACTATAATAATAATAAAATTGTTTGGAGTTTTAGGGGGGAAAATGTATATATTCCAAATACGCCATATATGTCATCAAATCACAAATTCTGGAGAAACTTCTTTGTCAATCACATTGGTAGTGTGGTCCGTTCCGTTGCCTTCTTCATCACAAATTAAAATCTTCAAACCTTGGTGTTTGGTCACATGTGAGATGAAAACATTTTTTTTAACTGAAACACAAACCATATTAACTTAAGAAAAGTTCGATACAAACAACATCAAACAAAACCTCAAACCATACTCTTTCTAGCTACTAATGTACTCCGTTTGTGTTAACTTGCCATTAAATCCAACTAATACATTCGTTGGCATTATGATCAGCTTTTCCATGTATCTTAGCATTTCTGTATTTCCAAATTAGCATAGCACGAAGCAGATAAATAGCTACAATCATCATTCTCCATTTCATAGGTTTCAACTATTGCAATCTATTCGAAGTGCATTTCAAGTTATTAGTAGTAATAACATAGCTAACTAAGACAGATATAATATTGAAAATGTGCTTCGAAAGCAAACATGAGCAGAATAAATGGTCAATATCCTAAGCCCAACCCCTTGGTCATAAAGGAGACACATTTAATATGAACATGATGTACGCGTGACTTAATTTTTGACTTGAACAGCATATTATCGGTTGACACTATTACAATCTCCATGGATAATGAAACATATGATCTTAGTACCTGGGTAGCTAAAAGAGCAGCATCATACTTTCTAGGAAGTATCTCTGCATCATTTAATCCCTCAAGCAACTCCTGAACCTGTGAAATCAAATCAAGCAATGGTCCACTCCTTAGCATTACATACCCAGTGAAACCTACATAATGAATGAAAGTATGAAGGGGTAAAATACTACTACGTATAATAAATACCCAATGAGTGAGGAGGCAAGTAAGAAAGCAATACTTTCCACACAAAAAGGCTAGTGAGCTAGGATTTGCTATGAACTCTTGCATTCATAAATGCCCAAATTTGGTAATTCTGTGCAGAAAATTCATAGAAATCAAACATGCACCATTATAGATAGATACAATATATATTGGTTGAATATTCTGATTAAGTTCAACATGGACATATCAATATGCATATTAGAGCAATCCATAACTACATATCAATTGCACCAATGGTATGAATTACCAAGTACAACGTATTGTTTACATTCTAATCACTAATGAATCCAAATAGGAAACTAGCACTTAATGATCCTCACACAGTACACCACCCTCAACTCCCTAGTTTCTACTTGTAGTGAACAATTAAGGACTATACACATCTTACTTAGCAGTTGACACTCGCTATTTTCTAGAAAAATCAAATATATAAATTGAAGTGGAGACTATTAAACTATAACATGATCCCAAAATGAAATGATTTTATCCAGAAAAGAAATTTTATTATTAAAAAAGATAAGGGAATCATAACTTATGCAACTCCAAAAGATTCCAAGCACAAACCGCAAGAGACTAAAGCTCTGAATACTTATGAGGACATCCAAATAAAAATATCACAAAACACATGCCCGTAAGTATGAGTTCTGAAAAAATATTTATGGAGCAAAAGAGAAGTGATGCCCAACTTCGTAGTATCATTGCCTCCCAAAACAATCACTGTCCAGTGATCGCTACTCAAGTTGCTAGGACTGGTAATTATTCCTCATCAAGTAGCAGCTGGAATTAGCACAAACGTTCAAATAATAAATTCCCTGCATAGAGACTTCTATGAGACCCAAAGTAAGATGATGTTTCTACTTCATTGGTAACTGTTAAATACTAAAATAATACACATGTCCACACAACTCTTTCAATTTCCATATTCCAAGAAGGAAAATCCAATCCATGAACATTGGGTGCAAAAAGATGAGAACAGAGCTTCAATATGCACAAAGGTGTGAGAAAAATGCCAAAATAACCCTCCTGTATAAAGTATCGATCCATGAATTCCAAAAACTAATCTGGTGCCCAAATGCCAAAATAACCCTCCTACTGTACAATGTTTACAGCCGACTTATAATCAATCGCTATATTAGATAATGTTCTCGCTGGGGAAATTATTGATAGCTAAAAAAAATTTCCATCTCTCTAGACGTGAACTTTAGAGAGAGGGCTGAGCATTTTTCCATTGAACGTCATTGTTTCTTACAGAGTAATATCTCTTCCCCCCTTCCATAGGGTGGAACATGATATAGACGCACGAAGCAAACCTTGATTGTCCATGAGGTACCCTGAGATTCTAAAAGCTAGACTCTTATGGAATGTAAATTCCAGGAGATCGAGAAGCTTGGGAGGAAGAAAGGCAAGAGGATTTCTTTGCATCACCGATCTCAATATCCATTAAGACACTCTCTCGAAATAGATGCTCCATTTCAACCTCTTCGGCTGAAAATTGTATACAAAATACATGCACAATAAATAAACTAAAAACTATATTCTATGATGCAACCTCTTGTACTTAAAGATGCAACTCATTTTTGAAAAAATAAAAACCGTGACTTCACATGAATAGGTTTCAATACAAAGTTCTCATTTAGTAAGCAATTAAAATTTCTCACCATATTTGGAAAAGCAAATACAAAATAGGCGAGCACTGGAAGATAGTTCATCATCCTCGATACTCAAGTCCAGAAAAGTCTCTTAAGGGATGTAGTGAAAACAATAAGGGATGTACTACTGAGTACGGGATCATCGAGCATTGGAAGATAGTTCATCAATTACAAAAAAATAATAAGGGATGCATTAAGTAAAAACATTGATTTTATTCAAAAGTCAAAGAATATCTCTTACACTATGTTTGGTTTGAGAGAAAAGAAAATTAGAAAGAAAAATATACTAAATGAAGAGGAAGATCAAAGTAAGACTAAAACATTGAAGATATACCAAAAAAGGACTTCCATATTTTTATTCCCGAAATAAGACTTATATTACCAAACATGGTCATATACATTACCAAGAAAGTATAGTAATTTGCACATGTACACTGTCACATTACCACAATGCAAAGTCACATTACCATAATGCAAAGTCATATTCTGGGAAAAAAACATGAAAGTCTTATTTTGGTACTTTTTTCTATATTTTAGTCCTATTTAGGATGATTTCTAAAAGAAAAAGAACTATTTTTTTCCTTTCTTTCAAATTCATTAAACCAAAGGTAGTGTCAAAGTAATTAGAAAAAATGACTACAATGAATGAGAGACATACTTGCACCTAAATTTTGCACTTCACCTTGAAGGTTATCAAATTATGTAAAGAGAAGAAATTCAAAAATCACAAAACTGTAAGAATGAATTCAAAATCACCATTTTTTTTTTTGAAAAGTACAGGTTTAAGTAAAGAATTCAAGAGAAGAAAAATATTCCACCTTAAAATGGTGGTGTCCTTGAATCAGTGAGACATCCTTGATCTATAGCAAGAATCTTAAGCAAGTGACATTAAAGAGTAAGATCATTTAAGATCCTACTGCAAATCTAAAGAAATTAGAATAGAAAAAAATGGTGTTACCCAATTATTGAATCGGTGCCCCTGCCTTGCATGAATTCGACCATCGCATGTGCTAGGGTCGAGACACAGAAGAAGAAGCTTTCTAAATTGGTGGATTTGCATGGAACACTGAAGAGGAATTTGAGTTACAGAGGAACTGCTAAAGTCCTATACTCGTAAGCTTTTTCTCAGATGAGGCCACCGACCATTATGTTGTACGCAGTTGCCTTATTTCACTGAACCTCGCAACCAAATGTGATAGAAGGGATCATTGGAGCACAAAGTTGTAGGTCTGACCACACTCCCCCTCTTCTTTGTGTTCTGCAATGGCTCTTTGCCACCTTATCATAGACAATAGAATCTGACATACGGGCGGAGCTATGGAGGTGCCATCGTGTAATGGTGAGTGCTTAAGAAACTGCGCTTTGGTCAGGATGCCTAGGAATGAGAATTGAGAAGAAATCATTAAAAAGGAGCAGATTAGAAGTGTAGATCAGTTGCCCTAATTGAGAAGCTTATACATTCTCAAATATACTTTGGTGTTCACGGGAGATATGTTGGTGCAGGCAAAAATACTAATAATTAATAAAAAGTATGATTTGATGAATTAAATAAAAATTAATAAAGGTAAAATTGATTTCTTAATGGAAGAAGAAGGACATTGCGAGACAAGAAAGAAGAAAAGAAGAAGAAAGGAGAAAGAGTCATTCGGATGGAGTTTTCGATAGACATCAGGACCACCAAATCACTACTCTAATATCTTTAAATATTTTTCGTTTTTAGGGCATCGAGTACATTTTTCATTTACGATTTTCCCTATATGGACATTCCATTTATGTGAAAAGTAATGAAAAAAGTATTCCATATTGATTTTCTCACATGCATAAACCTCACCAAAACAAGCTCAAATTGTTAAAACAACGCGAGAAGGCAAGTGGGAGTATTCATTTCTGACTGATGAAAGACTCTTTACAAAGCTTTTAAATATGCCCTAAAAGTTATAATGAAATTTTAATAAAATTAATTATAATTTTTTGTTTAAATAAAATAAAAATAAAATTTATTACGACAAAGTTACAAATAAGTTAATTGTGAATTTGACTTTTCGTAGTCAAGTTTATACTCTAATTGAAGGGTTCAACAAAACGAGTTCAACATCGTATCTCACCTGTGACTCCGAGTTACGAAAGTTAGGGATTTGATCGTTCCAGGATTGAAAAGATTTTAAAGAAAATAAATAAAATACAAATATGACTTGGATATAATACGAAGTACTGTAATACTTAACGAATTTGAGATTTTGGATATATCTCGTGAAAAGGTGACAAACGACATATAGTTTATCGAATTTAAACTTATTAAAATACGAGTAAAAATTATAAGCGAGGTACGTCTATACACGTTGTAGTTTGATAAATAAACAAAAAAGGGATTTTGCTATAATATAATATTATTAACTTATACTCCCTCCGTCCATAAATATATCTCACATTTCTATTATCTAGGTAAAATATCAAGTTTTTTCAATTTATTTTATTTACATATTGATATAGAAATAAAAAATAAAATTTACATATCAAAAAATTACATGAAAAGTTCTTTGAAATAAGATATGTCAATAATATTTTATTTTACCAAATAACCAATGAAAATGTATAAAAATAAACAAAAATTTCCGCGACAGCTGAAAAAACAAATGAAAGATATATTTAGAGACGAAGAGTAATACTACCTCCGCCACACAAAAAAGTTCTCATTTTGACCATAAATTGGTTAACCCGTTGCACAATTTGACCATAAATTAAATACTACTCCGTCCTATAGTATTTGTTCATTTTCATTTTTATACACCATCCAATACACTTCTTTAATCCATTTTATCTTGTAATTTGTATATTAAAAAAATATAGAAATTATATATTAATAATCTATATGTTAAGACAAATCAAACAAGATCACACATGACTATATTTAGACTTACACATTGAGAGAATTTGATGAGTCAAAGTGCTTAGATGAACAGTTCCAAAAGTCAAAACTGGACAAATACTCCGGGACGGAAGGAGTATAATCTAAATAAAGAAATGATAATCCTAAGATGAAACCAATTATATAAAAAATTTTCATAATTCAATATACTTTTTCTCATAATTTATAGTTAAATCGTGTAAATATTTATAGAAATCACCTTAAATAAGACTAAAACATAGAGAAAAGTACCAAAATAGGACTTTCATGTTTTTTTCCTGAAATAGGACTTCGCACTTTGAAGGGCATTCTTAGATTTAAGAATTCAAGCTGAAAACTTTAGGCATTACAGATATAATAGAATCAATATTCAAATATATTATTTGGATTAATACTCCGTATTATTTTCATTTGGATTTTACACAGTTAATTTCAAAATTTAAATTGACAATTTCCAATAACAATATATCAGGGTAAATTTCACAAATGGTACCCAAACTTTAGCTCGAATTTCGAAGTGGTACCTGAACTTCAAATCCTTTCGCAAAAATCCCTGAACTTACACAATCCTTTCACTAATGAGCCATTAGCCCGTTTCTAGATTAACTTCCGGTCATTATGGCCAAATTCGAATTTTATATATTTTAAAATTTTCAATTTGACCCCATTTCTTCTTTTCTTTTCTTCCACGCCCCGCCGCCGCCGCCCGCCGGTCAAAGTCGCCAGAAAATGAACTTTTTCCGATTCCGGCGGGACCAATGTCATTCTCTTCGTCTTGAGACGAGGATCAATAATATCCAAACCATTTTGTCTAATTTGGCCTGTAACTTCTCGAATCTGAATTTTTCTACTCGAAAAAACCCTAAAATTCGAAATTGGATCCAAAATTGGGGGTTTTGCAAATCTTCATCAAATCTTGCAATTGAGAGGTCCTTGGAGGTCGCCCGGATGCCACGACCGCATTGGCGTTGGTGCACGCCGTCAATTTCGCCGGAGTTGGCCGGAAAACGCTCCGACCCGCCGGCGGTGGTACTACTTCGAAATTCCAGCTAAAGTTCAGGTACCATTTGTGAAATTTACCCCAAATATCAAATATCCAACTATCCAACAAATTAAATACCAACACAGTATAATTAATCCAAAATACAAAAAATACTCTGAATTTCAAAAACCCTAAAATTTGGATTTTTAGAGAAATATAATAAGCAGAAGAAAATAAGTGGTACAAATTGGTCAAAAATCTGCAATAAGAGTTCAAGGAACAAATGGAAAAATGCATGCAAGTTCTGAGAAGCATTCTTAGATTTAAGAATTCGAACAGAAAACTTTAGGCATTGCAGATATAATAAATTCAATATTCAAATTTATTACTTGGATAAATATCATTTTCCTTTGGATTTTACACAGTTAATTTCAATATTCAAATTGACAATTTGTAATGATAATAATATATCATTATATAAAATCATCATTCACTCCCTATGGAACATCAATTATCCAACAAATTAATTACCAACACAGTATAATTAATCCAAACTGCAAAGAATACTCTCAATTTCAAAAACCCTGAAATTTGGAATTTAGGACAAATTTATTAAGAATTGAAAATGTACTTAAAAATGTTTTTTTTAATTCCAAACTTGTTGGCATATAGAATAAGAAATGAAGTACTCCCTAATTTTCACCTCACACGTAATAAAAAGGATAAGACATAGGGAGTATATTATACGGAGTAATTAGGAAGACTTTCAACTCATAGAGAAGTATCAATACTGCGAAGTAGTTTCCTAAACCAATTAGGAAGAACTTCACCTATTTGGTTATATATACGTACCATACGTGTACTCTGCCTTGTTCTCCGCATCACCCACCACCATCGTCTTCTTCCTTCTACCGGGACGCACGACCGAGTAAAGGAGTTAACGAAGTTTTAGCTAGAAAAGGGTTCATTAATCTGAGATTTCTTCGCCAAGTTAATCGAGGTGAGTGATTAATCTCTTGTTGGAATTAGTTCATAGATTAGGATTCATTGGGACGTTTCGTTCAATTGATGTTGAATTCGTGAGTATGAATATTGGATTGTGTGGTTGGTTATGTTGAATTTGGAATTTGGTTTGATTTGGGGATTCGGATTGGGTTGCTCTGCTCGTGTTCTGCTCTCCTCTCCGCATTCTCTTTTCTTTGCTATCTCTTTCTGTCCTTTTCTGTATTCACTGCCGTGTTCTGAACCTCGATGGCCGCCGCCGCTACTGTACTGGTCGCTGAACCCGGCGGTTGACACTAGCTCCGCTGTTAGTTCAGTTTGGAGGTTCGTGCCGCCGCGGGTATGGATCGCTGAGTCGCCGACGGCTGTCCCAGTCGTCAAATCTGTTTCCACATGTCGTTGAATCAAGTCTCCGGCGGGGATTGCTCTTTCCCGGGTGGACCCATCGCCGTGGAACGCCATCTCTGTGGCTGTTCATAGCTTGAAGAGTCGCATGGCGTCTGCGTAACTTCCCTTGGAGCTGGATTGGGATTTTGGGCTGAACAAGGAGCGTTCATAACATTAATGATAAGTGTTCAAAATTATACATTGGCCACGAACTTTCCAATTTCATAGAATTTGGCCCTACTTTGCATTTGGTCATAAGAAACAAACCATTGTCATCAACCCAAATTTTACTGATAAAATGTGTTGGCCTAAAAAAACGTGGAAGTATGTCACCTACTAATATTAGATGGTTTTGAATTGAATTATAAATCTGGATTTCTTATGGTAATGTTTTACAAATAAACATGTATGCGCTACTTTAATCCTTTTTTGAGAATCATGATTCATTTATTTTGGTTTAGATTGAACGGCCTTTGCTGAAAATGTTTAGATTAACGGATTCGTTTATTTAGATTAGAAGTATGTTGGATATTGTTTTACAATCTTTGGCAACTTTGAATTATTTACTCCGATTAAACTATGATGTACTCTTATTTAGATATGAATGAATGTTTTATTTTTAAATGTTTTAAATTTTTTATGCATGTGAATACCAATTTGGTAGCAACTTGATTCGCTAACTCGATGTTTCGAGTTACACGGGTCAGAGTGTTTTTATACGGAGCGATAAAGAATCAATGTTTAGACATGCAAATAAGAGGCTATTCTTTAGGATTGAAAAAAAAGCTGGATGTTTGAAAAACTCGTATAAGAAACTGGAAAACTGGAAGAAATTAGAAAAAGCGGGAAGAATCTAGAAAAAATTAAAAGAATATAAAAAAACTAGAAAAAATTAGAAAATCTAAAAAGACTTTTATCAAAATATTTTGTGTGTTTTTATATTATTCTCATTCTAATTCTTGTTGTTATAAATTATTATTATTATTATTATTATTATTATTATTATTATTATTATTATTATTATTATTATTGGTGTCATCACGTTATCTTAATGAATGTCTTTTAAACAATATATTGTTATTTTTCATATAAAAAACTACTTTTGAAAAAAAATATTAATTAGAACACAAAATTAGCATAAATATCAAAATGCTAAATACTTAAAAGTTATTATGGCTATGCCGTATTTATCATAAAATACTCCCTCCGTCCCGGAGTATTTGTCCAGTTTTGACTTTTGGAACTGTTTATCTAAGCACTTTGACTCATCAAATTTTCTTAATGTGTAAGCCTAAATATAGTATGTGTGATTTTGTTTGATTTGTCTTAACATATAGACTATTAATATATAATTTTTATAATTTTTTAATATACAAATTACAAGATAAAATGGATTAAAGAAATGTATTGGATGGTGTGTAAAAATAAAAGTGGAAAAATACTCTGGAACGGAGGTAGTAATATTTTACAATTATGTTTTATATGTTATAAGATTTGGTTTAAATATCAAACATGCCATATATTGTAATCAAACCATTTTTTTAATAATTGACATTTTATTTTCATTGTAACCTACTTTTGGAATAAGGTCATAAAACTTTTTTTTTTATATACTTTTTGAATTTAGAAATCAAACCTTTTTTTATAAAAATCAGAAAAATGAAAAGTAGAAAGATTTTGAAGAAATTAAAAATAGATTGAAAAAATGTGAAAGAAACCGAAAATTAAGAGTTTAAGCGAACATGCTCTAAATATATAAGAAAAATAATTTTAGATTAAAAAAGAATCCACATTTAAGGAGTACATAGAGGAATTTTTTTAACCCAAATCATATATGACTTAAACTAAAGTTCAAAACTGAATCTGACCCAATGAGTAGTGACCCAATCCACAAAGGCCCTATAGCATTAAGATGACCCAAATCACATATACTGTATAGGTCTTACCCTGCTGCGGCTCGCTCCCTGGAGAAAACCAAAGGCTCACCTCGTCCCGGCAAATAAACCATCTCCGTCTTCATCCTCTCCACCGCCAGTATCGGTTTGATATAGATCTGTCCTTCCACGCGGCTGAGAGAAGTTCTAGCATGAAATCGGCCGACAGAACTAATTTATCAGGTGAGTCTCTCTTATCTAATGTTTTATAAATAAACGGCCTTTGCTGAAGATTTATTGACTCTCTCACTCTCTCTCCCTTGCTGCTCTTCTTTTAGGTAAGCGGAAGCTAGATCCAAAATATGAGTCAGAGACCAAATGGACCCTGAAGAAACACAAGGAAAGATCCGAGGAGAAGGTAACAGTCCCATTCCTCTCCTTCTTTGAGAACAATTTTCCCTACACTCTGTTCTAATTGTAAGTTCGTGGGGTGCAGCGGATAACAACAAACACAAGCTATGCAAACAAAACAATCAACTATGTTGTAGAGGAGATGCTGCAGCACTGTCCAGTAACAGATGACGGGCAGTGTGCTATAACACTTCTCTGTCACAAGCACACACGCAAAATATGAAGTAAAAACAGTAAGCAAGACACCAGAATTGTTCACGCAGTTCGGAGCAAATTCTCCTACGTCTGCAAGGCCCACGTCCGTGTAATAGCCCTTCCACTAAATCACCGTAAGAATTACACAATCAATCACAACAGAACCTTCTAATGTATTGATTT